TACTGCTTTCAGCTTTCTTTGTGTGTGGGAGAGGTGCTTATTCTTTTTTTTTTTTTTTTTTTAATGCATAGTTCTGGGAGGAGAAATCATGGTTTTCTTCTGAATCAGCTCACTTTAACAGCAGAGGCTTCCAGCAGTGGCAGATCATGAGAGTGCAGAAAGGCAGGATAGCCCTGCTTGCTTGATTTGTTTCAGAAGGGTGAGGACCTGAGCCCTGTGCTAGCCTGCCCAGTTGTGTCTAGCAGAGCTCATGCTTTTATTGCTGCTCTCCTTACTTTCTCTTGACCTTAAGCACAGAGATGATGCACACAAAAACAAACACAAAAAAACTGCTACCCAAATAAATCCATCTGGTCCCTGTCTCAGCCTCATTTAACCTCCTCTTGAAGAGGCTGCATCACAGGGTATTCAGCTGAAACCTATTACCTTGCATGCCCAAGCACATCATATTGAATTACCTTCACCTATAGGCCTGGAGTGTTTGTTAATAGCTAATGGCATCTTCTAAGTTTGAGGTGATTTATTTGAGTACGCTTCTGTTTAACAGTGCGGTGGGGGCTGTGCAGTGGTGTTTTAACCAGAGCTCAGCCCAGGGATGCAGGTGAGCTCTGCAGGAAAGGTCAGCAAGAGCTAGGTACAGGCTTGCTCACACCTCAGGAGTGCAGCAGAGCCACACTGACCTTTCTGTGCATTCCTATTGCACTGGTGTGCTAAAGGGCAACGTAACTTGGCTGAAAATAACCCCTTGTGTGCATTTCATCTTGTCCTCAGCTGTCAGAGGAGTTTGTGGTTGAGCTTAGATTCCCAGTGATGCACGGTCTGTTGGGTGGCATTCGGCATCACTGCCCGATTTGCCTGGTGACATCCCAGTGGGTTCACACAGCCTCTCTTTATGAGCAGAGTTTGAGCCACGCTCAGATAGAGAGCTCTTATGGCTAGATTAGCAAACAGTGCAGTTTGTTAAAGCAACAGATTACAAGTTCTTTTGAATTGATGGGTATAAATGCGCTCTCTACCAAGTATGTGAGATTAACCAGTCTCACCATTAACCACTGGCTGGTCCCAGAAGTCAGAGATGGTCTGTGTCTGACTTGTCTGTGGTGGTATCTTCCTGACACCCCTCTCTTAAGCTATTTCTTACCACACAGGTGGAGCTTGAGGGGCTCTGTCGTAAGTACCTTTATTCTGATTGATGTAAGATTCTTTCACCTTGTTTTTAAAGAGTCGCTCAGTGAGCAGTGGTCGCGCCGTGGAGGCTGGTTGTTTTTTTTTGGATGGAGGCATGTTTGGGTATTTACAATGAGGGCCAAATGAGCAAAGTTCACCCAGAGGACAGCATTTGGTCAGAAAATAAGTCTTGGCTCAGGGTAGCAAACATTAGCTTAGCATCTCCATATTCCCATCCTGGTGTCCTTGGAATCAGTCCATCAGGTTCTTACGTTTGTGACACCTCAGCTTGCGCAGGGATCTGATGTGGATCACAGAGCTGGGCCTCACTGTCCACTCAGCTCTGCCCTCCGTGCCTTTTATTGCCATACCAGTTACACTCTGCTCTTGTACTTCTGTGAACAGCCTTGTACTGTAATTTCCAGTGAACAATGCTGTATCTTAATTTCCAAGGCACCTACAGCAATTACTGCACAGCCACCAGCCTCAGGGAAGCAAGCATTGATCATGGGAGCAGCTTCACATGGCTGCACGCAGTGAGGGCTCTGGGAGGTGTGAGTGAGTGTTTGGTGCACTGCATGGTCACAGGATGGAAGCAGGATGATCCTGGGAGGATGGGGCCACGTGGTTCCCCACATCTCCAGGGATTCTGTGGGAAGGGAGCTGGGCTGCCGTGGCTGTCCTGTCCCACCGAGGCAATGAGGTAGCTCTGAGGTGTGCCTGAGGTAGCTCTGTGGGAGATGATAGAAAGAAATTGACCTATGTGAGTGCTAATTTCCTTTTTTTTTTTTTCTTTTCCTACAAGTACAGTGTGGAACTGGCACAAAAATGCCGTGAAAGACAAAATCAAAAGCCAGTTGTAGTGATGCAGACCCGAGCAGTAGTCTTGCTTGCAGCCGCCATTGCAGGTGAAAGTAGGAATGCCCTTCACATACTCCAAGCCCAACTCCCCAGTTTATAGTTTGTAGACTGAGTTTCTGGCCTCGTGTTTGTCCTCTTCAGTCCAAGTCTCGCTGTTCTCTCTTAGCTCAGAGAGATGAGGGAGGAGTATGGGTTCCAGGTAGAAAACAATTGACTGTAATAAATCAAAAGCAATCAGCTTGGGATCTCTGTCGTTCAGGTTTTACTCCTCAAAGATGTGAAAAATCAAATGGTCAGGGTTATTCAATTACAGCTCACACCAGCAATGGGAAAATCTGATAATGTTAAGGCCCTACATCAATATTATTTATGTGACGTGGCACCGTGCTTGCTGCCAGGTAGGAAACTGCAGAGATCCTACAGGTGTCCAAATCTCTCTCTCTCTTCCTCTCACCTCTTTTTTAATAACTGAATAACCTCGTACAGCGTCTCTCAAAGATCAGTAATAGTGCAGGGCATATAATGACAAACTGGAAAACATTTTCCTCTGAGTGAAGGCAGCGTGAGTCAAACCTGAGGCTGTGAGCAGCTCTGCTGCTAATGGAGCCAGGCAGAGGTGACACGCTACGTTAAATGACAGCAGTGCGCAGCCTGCTCTGCTGAACTCCTGCACCCACACTGCTGGCTCAGTGGCTTTAATCTCCTCTGCTAACGTGGTTTTTAAATGGTACTGCAGGGTAGTGTTGGGGCGCTGGAGCTGGCTTGCATTTGGGAGCCTTTGTGCTCTTCCCTGTCCTGCCATGGAGCTGGGGAGATGCTGGAGGCTCCGAGTGAGGAGGAATTGGCAGCAGGAAGTGCTTCCCTGGTAGACATGGATAAAATAAAGTTGTAAACAGCAAGAGGAGCTGAAATAGCAGCATCGATAGTTTCCAGATAATGATCTAATTAGCACAAGCAAGCTTCTACTAATGACTCTTGTTCTTCCAGCCTTCTCCTTTTTGCTCGCCTGTTTTTATTGACTTCTCTGGCAGGGAGCAGCTCTGCTCCCTATCTCTAGGGCTGAGGCTCTGGAGATTGTGTATTGGCTGCTCCAAATTGCATCTCCAAAGAGCGTTTGCTTGAGGCTTGATCTGACACCTTGGGATGGCTGCTTGCAGAAGAGAGGGGAGGCAGACGTGTTGCTTGGCTTCTTTTGCTAGAGGCCATGGGGCATTTGTGCTCCAGCTGCGTGTCCCTCATGAAAACAAGGCCAGTGGCACCCATGTGTAACTCCTATGGAGTTTTACTGCTCTTTGGTCAGTGAGCTTCTGGGTGCTCAGCTTTGGGGAGGAGGGCAGCTTTGCCAGGGTGGTGGAGTGGGGCAAGGCTGCCTCGAGCTGAGGCTGTGCTGCTCCTGCGCTGGGGTGGAGGCACTGTGGCACCACAAGCAGCCTGCAGCCTATTGATCAGACATAACGGAACTTGATATGGATGTGCAAGGGTGCAATTAACAAGAACTTATTAATGCTGATGAGTCTTGGGCTAAAATGACTCTCCCGATCAAAAAGCTCAAGCAAACACGTTGGCAATCCCCAGCCTCCCAGCCCCTTGTTCTGGCTGCTGATTTGCAATTCTGAGCCTTGCTTCTCCCAGCCTTGCCCTTCTGACAAGCGGTGCTGCGCTCAAACCTGCTGGGAGTGGTTGCAGCCAGAGGCTGGGAGCTCCAGTGCTGAGAGCTGTCAGCGCTCCGAGCTGTTCTGGGTATTTTCGGCTGAGAGTTGAGCTCTGCTCTGATGAAGCCGTAACAGAATGCTGAAGAGGTTTTATTCAAATTGAGGTGTTACTGACTAATCCCTCCTTGAAGCACTCTGATGCTCTGGGTTTCCTGGGCTGCTTTTTCTTTCTGAGAGATTTTCCTTTCTTGACCTTCAAAGCCAACAAGGTTAAACTGCACGTGTAAAAGACTCAAACCTCTCCCAGACCAGACCTCCTGTGCCCAGGTATTAAGACTTGGGTACAGAGGTGTCAGGTATGTTGTGGGATGCCTGGGAGCTCCTGCAGTTTGTTTTGGGATGGCAGCACAAACGGTTTCAGCTGTGCAGAGAGGGCAGGACTTGTTTTGTTCCAAGCCCTTGCAGTGGCAGTGCTCCCTCCTGTGCAGCCTGTGGCCAGCGCAGGGCTGGCTGCTGGGCTCATCCCCAGGGCAGCTGTGGTTGAGTGCAGGTGATAGCAGCAAATGCTGCAATGGGGTCAGGATGGAGCTGAGGGGAAAGTGAGTTCACAGGGAGGATTTCAGCCCTGTGGTTTTGCTGGCGTTGGTGGAGCAGGACAGAGGGAGGTGGTGCCACTGGGAGCCCATGGCCAGTGCCCAGTGCATTTGTAGAGCCACAGGTACTCTTTGCGTCTCTCCTCATTTTGATGCCACCGGCCTGTCTTCTCCCCTCTCTTGGAGGAGCTAATTATGGTGATGTTAATGATGCAGAGGTGCTGATGCTACCTGGCATTTTAATGACTCCTCTGCATTTTCTGCTATTTTTATGAGAAAGCCAGGGAGGGGCCTTTGAGAGGTGAGGTGTGTGGTGCTGGGAGCACAGCAGGGAGGCAGCCCCAGCCCTGCCATTACTGCACAGGGGAAGCATCCCAGTGCTTTTGGGTCAGGTCGTGGTGGCTGCTGCAGGAACAGCACCAGCAGCTCCTCACCGTGCACCCAGGGCCACCGTGCAGGAAGGATGTGCCCAGGGGCATCGTGACTGTGCTGGGCAGGAGGGCTGTCAGGGGCTGGACGGAGGTTTTGCTGGGATTGCAGGGCTGTTCTGGTGCCCGAGCACTGACACACTGCCATCAGCAGCTCTGCACAGCCCATGGGGTTTGTGCCCACCCCTGAGGGTTGGGATGTGCTGTGAGCAGAGGATGTGGGTGGGACGTGGCTGCACGGAGTTGGCAAGGGTGCTGTAGCCTGGAAAGGATTGAGCAGAGGTGCCGGAGCACTCACATAAAATATCTAAATAAATCTTTAATATTTCTAATTGCAAATGTACATAAATTGCACGGCCACATCATTTCTTTGAACACCAACAACTTTCTCTGTACATTATTACATAGTTTAAAAGGAGCTGAAGGAGATTCAGCAAACACTTCCACTTTGCATTTTTTTTTGTTTTTAAACATACTTACAAAAAGATTTTTTTTTTTTTATAAGAGGATATAAAACATAGCGACTGCTTATCAGGAACAAGTATCAGCTTAAGCAGATATACAGAGAGAGGTATATCTTAAGACACAGTGATGTATGATAAAGGAATATGTGAACATGGAGACTGCACTTTGGGGTGCTGGCAGCTGATGCAGAACCACGTGGAATTTACAGCAATGTCACAGCTCAGGTAACCTGTGAAGTCAGTGCTTTTTCCAAGCATGATTGTTTCTGAATGTTGTATGATGCTCTCAAGACTGGATTTGGTTTGGAAAGCCCATGCTTCTGTCATCTCTCGCTCCCCCATCCCCTCCCTCTGATATTCCTCGAGGGAAAAGGTGCCAGTTAGCCCTGCAGGGCTGGCCCAGGGCTCAGCTGGATGCGAGCAGGACAGGGCCACACAGATGAGCCTTGTGGCTGAGCAGTGTCCTCTGGGGCTGGGGAATGGTGGTGGCTGCAAGCCCGCACTTTCCACGCTGGGCAGGGTGCTGCGAGTCCTGGATCAGACCTTAGTGTGTCTTAAGTTGCACGTTGGTATGGATTTAAGTAACAGGAGAAGCCCATGAGCATTCTCAGCGTTGGACGCAATTTGGGGGCTGCTCTCCCAGCAGAGACCATGGTATCTCACTCAGGTCCACTTGTGTCCCTTCTCCCTTTAGGAATATTCACAGCAGAACCCATGTCCTGCGACCTGCGGGCTGGCTGCCAGGCTGGCGGACTCAGCATGTTCTCACAGTGCAATCAGTGCTTTACAAGCAGAAAACAAAACCAACCAGACTCAAATGACAATGCAGAGTGACACAGGACTCTTTGGATGGCAGCAGGATTTGCTTAATCTGGTGCAAAAGGGGCTGGTGACTGTGCTGTAGTATTAATTGGCGTGGGGAAGGACCTGAGTCCTCCAGTTAGTTGGCACTGCATTTAAGCCATAATCCCTGTCCAAAAGGATGGGACTGCAGAGTCCCCAGAGTATCCTTCAGTCCATTTAATCCCCCTTTACACAAAGTTTTCATCATTTTTTCTTTTTTCCAGAATTGTTTGCTACAGATCAACAAAACCCCAAATCATAACTCTTAAAACAGAATTCTTGAGGTGGGCCAACCTCAAACCTGGATCCCTGGCTGCTCCTCCTTCCCTCAGGTACCCCGTGGTGAGGAGGCTGAAATCATAACCTGGGGCTGGATCCAGATTTGCCAGATGGAGTCCACCTCTGCTGAACAGCAGTGAGATACAGCCAAATCTTGACCAAATAAGCAGCACCAGAAGTAAATTACTATATACAACCGTTAGTGAGATAGATACGTTACAGTAAACACTGAAAACATTTACAAAAAATATTAAGACTTGTATTAAGATAAAAATCTGAGTGTGTTTTAGTCTTGTTTACACCTTGACAAGTTTGCACTAGAACAGCCTCTTATTTTAGTAAAGCGCAAGAATGGAAAAGAAAACGGAGCAGGTCACAAAACATTACGCATAGTGGTTGCTTTGCCGCGGTGCTGTGAGCACCTCCTGTGATTAATTGCCTCTATTGCTACGCCAGGCATCAGGGCTGGGGCTGCAGCTGGGCACCTGGCACTGCCACTCTCTCTCACACACACACACATACGAAAATGTACAGTTTATAAATAAGAGGAACACAAACAGAAGTAACAGAACTGAGCTGAGCCTGGATCTTAGAACCTATTCCCCAAACCTTGACATGGGAAGGTTGTACTTAGGTCCAGTTGTTGATATTTGCAGAGTAAGGAGACACAGGAACAAGGGGCTGGGGGAAGCTCCACTGTAAAAAGATCTCGTTCTACTTGGAATTCTGTTTCATACTGGCTTAGGAAACTGAGCAACTCCAGAAGGTATTGGCAGTGGAACTTGGAAGGTTTTATGTTATAGTGACTGGCTGCAGAAGGACTTGAGCAGCCTGCTGTTGCAGCAGGACAGTGTGCTCGGTGATGTGCTCAGTGATCGAGGTTACCCAGGATTTTCTGACAGATCTTGGGGAGAAATAAAGCAACAAGGGGAATGGTGGTATAAAAGCAGTGCCTTGGCTGGGGGGGCGAGCAGATTTACTGCACTTTGCTTCAGCACTAATCAGCTGTGCTGGGGGTGGGTCTTTCTTCCAGCTCATAAGAGGGCACTGACTGCACCCCCAGATTTTGTTCACATACAAATGGAAGCGCTGCCCTGTGCCCTGGTAGTGCTTCCATTCCTTTATATTGAACAACTTCCATCTCTCCCAACACCAGTATTTTGGAGCTCAGAAACAACTGACTCTAAAAATACTTCTGAGGGCAGGAGCAGTTTAAGTGTCTTTTTTAGCAGGGTTCTTATCATGTATATAAAGAACAACGGCAGAAGTTACGTGTACGAACCAAACTGTTCACATAACCCTGTGTATTCCTAACCTGTCTGGGTCTTACTCCAGTTGTAACCTCGTCAGCTGTGTCAGGTTCTTCAAAGACATCTGTGCTATTCTCCACATGCTGTACTTGGCATAAACACTTAGCGATTACTTTTCTCTGAGGAGCTCCTTTTGGGGTCTCTGAGCACTTGCACCATTCTGCAGGCGTTGGTGGGGTGCGGAGCCCTCAGTGCAGAGCAGTGCGTTCGCTCCTCCGAGGACCGGAGCTGCAGCAGCTGCAGCCGCACCAGGCTTGGCCCAGGGCTTCCAGGCAACAGACAAACGTTTACAAAAATTAAAAAAAAAAATCATCTTAAATTTTGAAAGCAATTGCATGAGGAAAGATGCTGTTAGTGAGCCTTACGGCTGTGGGGCAGCATGGCAGTGCAGAGCTTATGGCACATCACGTCCTGCTCAGGCAGCCCGGCGAGGCTGCAGGTGGTACCTAAGCTGTGCAGAGCTCAGTGAACGTCCTAGTACCTTTGACTGTACATTTACACGTGGCAGGAGGAGCTGGGACAGGCGGTCAGCAGTGTGTTAACCTTTATGGGAGGAATAGGCAGATGTCCTGTACACTGTACACTGTCATCCGTGTCTCAGAGAAATCTCTCTGGCTCTCGGTCCGAGTGACCTGCTCTGAGACTGGGAGTCGTGAAGGACTAACTGGACAACCACAAACCAACAAACACCGTGGCGGCGGGTCAGCGGCACAATCCCCCGTTAAGGAGGAGACCCCTCTGCTGAGCAACACGTCTGTGTGTGCCGGGGCTGCGTGTCTCGGCAGTTAGGAAAGTCTAATCCTGGCTTATGCCTGCACAGTGCTCCTGACAAGGGGGCTCTCGGTGGTGGCTGCTGTTCCTGCTGGTTACTCCCTTATGACCATGTTTTACATTCTTCAGGCCGGTTAATTTCCATGCAGTGCTCATTCCCAATTTAAAGAGGACAGTACTCCAGAAAATGGGCTCTTTTTTTTTCTAATGCATACTGTGAAAGAAAAGAAATACAATTACCGATCTTCATGGTTCTTCATGGCCGTTCTTGTTTCTTTGCCTTTTTTTTCCTCCCCAGAAACAGTACATAATCTCTGCACAGAGCATGACATCCCCATAATGAACTCTTTGTCAAGCATGAAGCTGGCCACGTTGCAGCCTGGCACTCCCCCTCTCCACAGTGGGCACCAGCAGCAAATCCAGACCCTGCAGCTCACTCACAGCTTGAGGACAGCAAGCTCAGGTTACCTTTAATTTGTTCTGTGTTATGTGTGTGGTAGGGAACGCAGTGCCCTGGAACTATTGCTTTACAAAGACTTGTCCCCAGTGTTTGTGAGAGCAGAAGCTGGGAGTGGAACCAAAAAATCCTTCTGCAGGGCCCGGATCCTCCCTCCACTGACACAGGCGCCTGGGGCCTATCCTGCTCATAGGGACCGCCCAGGGCCCCACAGCCAGCCTCTATGTGTCCCCCACATTCTCTACATGGCCCCCACGTACTGAGCGAGCCCTGACCATCCTGCTGGGCTCTGCCCCTGTGTGGACAGAGTTAATTAAATTCTAATTTGCTGTGCAGATGCCCTCTGGACAGCTACCCACTGCAAAAGTCAGGGGCAGCACAAAAGCTACATAAGGAAGGCCAGAGGCTCAGGGATTGCTCTGGGGATGGGGCTGTGCTCCAGGGGGAGTCACATGAGGAGCAGGCCAGGCTCCTGCCGCCCTCCAGCATGCACTGCCTATACTGAGTGTGCTGCCCACTGCAGGCTCTGCCCAGCTCCCTGCATCTTGCTTACTGCAGTGGCAAGGACGTTACTCCTTGTTGGGAGGGGAGAGGCGTATCCTCTGGGCAGCTTGGAAGGAAAAGGTTACTTCTGTTTAAACATTAAACACTGATTTAAATCCAACAGTGACAGCAATGCTCAAATATATCTTATTTCCTTATGCCACTCATCTCACACTTGATCTTTCCGTCCCCTCAATGTGCTGGCATTAGCATCTCCCACAAAGGCTCAGTCAAGCGCGCCGTCCGCAGTAAGGAGCTGGGTTCTCTGGGGAGAGAGCAGCCGTTCTCTGAAGCCGCGGCTCACACCTGCTGCTGCACGGGTCTCTCTGGCCAGGCCTCCTCCTGCGGCAGCGCCCTCCACGGGTTAACAATTACTGCTGTTTCTGAATTCTCCATTCTCTGTAATCTGCAATTTAGTTGGGTTTGTGGGGGAGATCCCATTACGCGTCTGCATGCTGTACCTCTCTTTCAGCTGAGTAAGGGCACTCATTAACCGTGCGTTGGCAGCATCCAATGAAGCAATGCGTTTCTCCTGCAAAGAAGCGGACGGAGGGAGCCATCAATGGAAACACACGGAGAACTGTCTGCCACACCATGAGTGGTTGTGAGCTAGCAACCGTGGGCCTTTGGGACCAGTACCCCTCAGCAGCCCACTGCTGATAGCAGGTCTACAAGTGCTTTGCCTGTGTTTTCCCCTGCTGCTGCCAGGTGAACAGACATCTCTGCAAGCTGTGTGCTCCAGGCTGGCCTGGCAGCAGCCACATCCCAGCCAGAAGCCTGTGTGCGTGCCTGGGTTGATGCTGGGGCATGGCACTCTGCAACCTCCCAGCAGCTCCATGTCAGACGGCATGGCTGTGGCCGTAGCCTGGATTAGAACTGTGCTGAGCTGTGCTGTGCCAGGTTTGTACAAAGCCTTCTTTTCCTTCAGGAAAAGCCTCTGAAATTCTGGGTTAGGACATAATTTGAGGATTACTTCTATGAGGAATAAATATCCTTTCTGCAGGTAGCTCCAGAAGCATCTGCAGGGGAGCACCAGAGTTCTGCATGGCTGCAGGGATTCTGGGCAGCAGTTCTACAGCCATGACCCCATTCAGAGAGTAGCTCTGGCTACAGGAGATCCCTGTCAGTCCTTCCGCCCTGCTCCCAGCCTCGTGGAGGCTTTGGCACACCAGGCTTTTAAACAAGCACAATCTGCGCTGAATTAATTTTATCATACTAGGGTTAATTGGTCCTGAACAAAATGGAGATAAAGTACTTTTTCTAATTTTTCAATGATACAGAAATTGTGTTGTTTGCTCTAACTGCAGCTGTTATGAAGACGATAAGATTCCTGTTCTAAAGCATAGTTCTCTCCCAAGGTGGTTATTCCTGTCAGTGTTTAATTGATTTTGTTAGTGTAAATAAATGCCTTAAATGACTTGTGGCCTCCCAGGATGGCTCTGATAGCATAGCTTATCCTCACTGATTACACTGAGGGGTCCAGTGCAGTGTCATGGGGACAAGAGCAAGAGCTGCTGTGCTGCAGCCTGATCCTGCCATGCCTGCACATTCCTGCTGTCTGCTGAGAGCAGGCAGAATGAAAATAACACAGACGGGCACAGCAGTTTGCCTATGTAACTCCAAGGATCACACACAGTGTGAGATGACGAGAAGCAGAAAACTGCACCACACAGGCTTGGGTGAGAGCCCCATAACACTGCAGGGCCTGGAGGAGGTGCTGCTGGCTGCAGCCCCCAGCTGTGTGCCCCACACTCCCCCTTACCTGCCAGGCTTTGCCCTAGCGCAGCAGGAAATGTGTGCTGATTTACTGGCTTGGAACAAATTACTGTACAGGAAAACAGTGATTCTTTTTGCAAAGTTACCACCATCTCATCTCCTTTTTAATTAGTTATACAGTAAATTAGTCATGAGTGGTGACTCACAAGAGATTAATACGGTCATTAAGAGAAAGCCTACAATTCACTAGCACCCAGCCACAACCTGGAGCTGCCTAAACAAATGAAAAGATGATGGGCTGTATTTTCAGATCCTTTGTTCCAAGCACAGCATTTTGCACCATCATCTGATCTGTACCACTAAGTGCACTTCCAGCACTGGCACAGTCCTGCACAGACTGACCCTGGCTCTGGGCATCCCTGCAGGGAGCAGGGTGCTGACTCCATATGCTGACCATTTGCACAAGGTCAGTCCCCTGGCACTGCCATTCCATGCTCCTCCAAGCTACAGGCCCTGCCTCCTCCCCTCTGCTCCCTCTGCCCTGCAGACACGCTTTTCTTCCCTGCTCTGTGCATTTGCTCTCCTCTTGTCTATCATTCCCCTGCCCTTCTCTTGGCTCTGCCCTTCTCTAGACTTTGCTCCAACCACCTCCTCGCTGCTCAGCCTGCTGTCACCCCCACATCCCCGCATTATGTGCCAAACACCAAGGCTGGAAAAAGCTGCAGAATGCAAATGCTCTGGTAATAGAACAGTGTCCTGCTGAGGGCTGACCCACCCTGTCACTGCCTGCAGCTTTGTGCTGACGCACCCCATGCACGTGGTCTGACCGCACTGGATCTGGTGCTGCTGCACAGCAGGGAGGCTGCATGTTGGCAGAGTCACCCAGAGTTCTGCAGCCCTCAGTGTCAGGGACTCACCTGTGCATCAATGATCTTCTGCTTGGAGTCCACGGCAGCCTGCATTTCTGCATGGTCTTTTTTCAGCTCCTCCTCAACTGACATCAACCTGGTAGCCAGAGACAAGAAAATAAAAACCTGTTTTCAAGATGCAGAGTGCATCATCTTTGTAGTGTTTTGTACTGCTTTGGGGAAGTGATCTGAGAGCTGGGGGCAGCTGGAGGAAAGGGGACCCTGCAGGCCTGCAGCTCCTGTCTCCCTGTAGTATGGGTTGGTGTTGTGAAAAGCATGCTTTATAGGAAGAACAGAAAGTATCCTAAAGGCCCTCAGTGAAAGGGCAGGGACAGCTTTAGTTGGACAGCAAAGGCTGATATGCACCTCTGCAATATGTGGGAGGAGGTGTGAAATGGTAGAGACCCCAGCCTGCAGCCCTCAGCATCTGGATGAGGTCTGAACCCTCAGCTGAGAAAGCAACACTAAGGCACATTGAGATGCTCACACAACAAGCAGCTCTGTGTTCAAACAGAAAAGGGACACGGGCATTGCCACCACCTGCTGATAACACACAAACAAATGGTTCAGTGCATCATTTTTCTGGCTATTAATTTTGTCTAGACAACCACAGAGCACATTGCCCAAGAGCTTAAGTGATTAAGGCCAGGGAAGGAAGATTCCTTTGTGAGTGCTGATTAAAAGCAGAGACGTGGCTCGGCTCAGGTAAGGTGAAACTGGCAGGACTGAACAGCATGGTCAGTGCTAATGCCAGCCCTGCTGCCTCCCCCAGCTGCCCTGTACCTGCTGATGATGCCCTTCATCTGGATCTCCTTATCCTCCTGCTGTCTCCGCAGCCGCTCCTCACTCTCCTCCAGCCTGGCCTGGTACTCCAGCATCAGTTTCTGCGTTGTCTCCTCCTGGCATTTGAAGCGTGTCTCGTACTCCTCCAGCTTCTTGTTGGAGATGCGCAACTTGTCCTGCAGCACCACCAGGTCCTGCTGGTACTACAGCACGCGGGGACAGACAGGAGGAGAGAACACCTGAAGCACATCATCACACATGGCTCTGCCCTTGCCAGGGTTTCCCCACAACCCGACTGCCCCTCTCCTAGCTGCAAACCCTTATCAGATAACCCTGCTTGCCGACACCTCCTCTTCAGTCTTCTCCATGCTGTGCTGGGAGCGGCGCTGCGTCCTGCAGGGCTGGCACGGTGCTGGCACGTTCAGAGAATGGGCTGTTAGCAGAGTTCAGCAGTTCACATGGGGAAAGCAGGTTAGAGTGACTGAATGGCAAATGCACCTTCCTCACACTGCGCGCAGCGCTAAACACAGGCAGGAAAAGCTGAAGTGGGATTTTGGGTTAACGCGTGAGCTCTTCAGCCTGTCAATAAACAAGAGTGCTTTGGAGATGCTGAAAGCACAAGCCCCAGTTGGAGCAGGTGCAGCTGCCTCCCGGATGGGGCACTCGAGGCTGAGCCGGGCAGGGGCAGTGCTGCAGCCCCACATCTCAAACCCTGCAAGCAGATGGCAAGCCAGGGCTCAGTCCCAGAAGAACTGCTGCATGAAGCCAGGACCCCACAGGCTGTGCCGATCCCACAGCTGAAGCTAAATAGCAACAACAGAAGAATCACATAAAGCAATTAGGAGAACAGCTTCCTGACTCAGCAAAGCTGGGTTCAGCTGTTTGAGAGCATTCAGCACAACTTACTTTGCTAAAGGAAAATTCAGTGCAAATCTGTCTTAAGACTTTAATTTCAAAGTTATCTTTGAAATCCATCTATTAAAAAATCTTAACTGTAATGATCTTAGAATAATTAACACACACCTGATGTTGTGAGGAGCTGTGAGTCAGGCTGGAAAAAAAAATCACCTGGGCCATGAGAGCAGTTACAAGGCCACAGGAGTTGCATAAGTGCAAAGAGGAACATGCTGAATCCTGAACTGACTGCAGCTTAGAACAGAGCCCTGCCCTTCAGCCATCTCCAGCCACGTGAAGCATTCATGTTATGAATGTCCTTGTATCCTGATGCTGTGAGACCTGCTGGGGAGCTGCCCTGCCTGATCAGCTCCTTTGGAGAGAAAGCACAGCCACTGTGCCCTATGCCCCAGCTCACATAAGCACTGCTCTAAGAAAAACCTCTCCTCTGCCCAACTGACTGACTGCAGACGGAGCTCAGCTCCTCCAGGCTGAAGTCGTGTGATGCAGAGGGGCCTCCTGACGCTAAAGGCTGAGTGGGAAGGGGCTGTGAGCTCCTCCCACCGGGGCACAGATGGCCACAACAGATCACTGTTTTTTTCCTTTAGCAAAGCTTTTACTGAGGCACTGAAAGGACACAGTTTGCACGTGGAACTGGAGTGATGGGAAACAAAGATGCCCATACAGATGCACAGAAGCACTGAAGTCAGACAGAAGGGAGTCGTTCACACAGGAAAGATTGAATACCTACCCTAGCCTTAAAATAGGAGCAGCATGAGTGTAAGTGATAGCAGGAGAGGCCTTGGAGCCCGAAGGAATCGCTCCTGGCTCTACAACACTTGTCTCACTCTTGGTTACCATTCAAGTCTTACAGTAACGGGAAGAGAGATTATGCTAACGATGATCTTTGATGTCAGTAACTTTACAGTAAAGTAACAAAAGATGCTGCGTGGCAGTGAGACACCAGGGCAGGGGGGACACCTGTGGCCTTAGGACAGGGACCGGTTTGCTGCAGAAATGAGTTCCTAACCTGACCTTAGCCCCCTGGAGCAGGTGCTGGTGAGCTCTGCTGCCCGTGGGAGCCCAGACAGGGCCAGAAGGCAGCCAGGCCAGGCTGAGGGACACCCACCCTGCTGCAGAGCTGCAGTAGCACCAAAGCTCTCAGAAACCCTTCAGTACCAAAATGCAGCAATAACACAGGTGCACAATGCACGGATCTGGAAGTACTGCTTTCATTTGCTGCCTACTAGCGTCTCCACTTAGGTCACATTCACAATTTCTGTACATGTGCAAATAGTGTCAGCTAACCTCAGAGCTGAGTGTCTGATCAGAGCATGTCTGTGCTTGCAGGAATACCCAAGGAGGAAAGAACCCATAAAAAACAGGTTGAGCTCTCCCATCTGCCATACTACTGGAGCCCCCACCTCCCGCTCCCTGCTCTGCCTCTTAAAGGTGAGAGCCCCAGAATAATATGACTGAGCAGGGGAAGGCTACAAAACCAGAAATGGCTGTGCTGCAAAAGAGGAAAGAGTTCAGGAAGGGAGAAGCCTGCAGCCTGCATGACCCGACTTGGTCGCTGGGATGCAGCAAAGCATGTTTAGGAAACATCCCTAACACCCAAGTGCAGACACCCTACAGTGCCAGGCTGCTGAGAAGTGCCAATTCTGCAGCACTCAGGGCCCCTCCAGCACTGGGGGCTCCAGTTGAACCCTCTGGCTCTGACTTGCTGGCAGACCCCACAGAGCCTGGAGCAGTGTCACTGCATCAGCAATGTCACACCAGGCCCCAGTGCATCCAAGACCAGAATCTGGACTTAATTTTTAGGTCTCCTTGCAGTCTCTTACCACGGGAGCTGCTCCTTGTTACATATTCCTGCAGTAAGGCAGGAGAGTGCCAGTATCCTACTACTGGTCTCTGGGTACATTTATTTTCTAAGCCCTTCTTCCCCTGCAGTCAGGGGGAAGCAACAGGCACCAGCTGGCTCCAGGTGATGCTGCAGAGCAGCCCTGACTCCTGGCTCCCACTTTTCTCACTTGCCTCCATCAGGGCAATTCCAGTCAGTGTGTGAAGCCCTCCCAGGCAATCCCCAGCAGTGCCCTGTGAGCAGCAGGGCTGAACAGCCTGACAGCCTCTGTGGGGCAGCGTGGGGCCGGCCTGCCCCCGGCTGCAGCTCAACCACATTCAAGGAAATCCTCTCTCTATTTAGAAACTTGATTCAATCCAATCAGGTTTTACCTTTTCTGCTTGGCTGAGCTCGTCCTTATTCCTGAGCTTATCCCTGTGCTTGGAATCTGGGTCAATGCTTTCATCTTCTAAAAACTGCATGTTCATATTCAAAAGCCAAGCAGCAGTGCGGTCCAGGGCACTGGGGTTCACAGGAGAAGGGGCCTACAATGAAACATACAACCATAACAAAAGAAAAACCTGTAACAGAAAGGTCATGAAGCCAGAGAGAGCAGTTCCTTCCAAGCCCTCTCCCACGCTGCTCCAACAGCAAAGAACAGATTGAGCTACCAGAGGGGCAGGAATACCTCCTGGTGTGCACCTCCCATTATTCTGCATCAGAAACATTTGACAGGTTGAATTCTTCCCTCTGCCATCCCTATGGAACAGGCAAACAAAGGTGCACGGCAGTGGAACCCTGCTGAAGCAAACAGGCCCAGGTTACTGCAGCAGCTGTCAGCTCTGCAAGCAGAGTCTTCACTCAGCTCTTCAGTCTCTGCTTCATTGCGCTGTGTTCTTGCTTGCCACAGAGCCTTTGCACAGATAAAACTACATCTTCAAAAATACACCTTGAAAAGTAACGGTTTCTTCTTGGGTGAGGCTCTGCACTGAAGAGGTCCAACTTCCCGAGCTCTCCCTGGAGCTCACAGGGCCAGTGGGCCCAGGGTGCAGCACTGCTCTTGGCAGGCACTGGTGCTGAGGGCAGGACTGCGAGCTCAGCACCTTCCAGCTGCATTAACAACTTGAGGAAGTGAAGCTGCAGCTATTTCCCCTCCATCCTGGCTCGTTATAAACAGCAGTAATTATCCACTTGGATGAACACAAGGGATCTGGATGACCTGTTCAAATTAACAAGGCAAAGAGATTGGGAAATTTCTCCTCCATTCAAAGCACCGGTGCTGGAAGCTTTCCTGTGCCATCCTTCAGCTCTGTCTTCATTTCCACAACTTTCAATCAGAAGCTCAGGCACTGCTCGTGGAGCACTGAGGGCTGAGCGCAGGAGAGCTGCCCTCCTCAGTGATGTAAAGGCCCTGGATCCAATGCTCTCCACTAACAGAGCCACTGCCCATCAGCCCTTCTGCCTCCTCCTCCTCCTTTCTCTGAAGATGTGGGAAAGCACAGCCTGCTCCTGTCTGGCATGGGTTTGATGGCAGCCCAGGTGAACTCAGGAGGTGGAGGAGGTACTGCTGAAAGCAATCCTCCTCAAATGGCCACCATGTGGGAGCTCTTGGTTCTTGAGCAGCAGATTTATGATTCACAGCCAGCAGACAGGTGAACTACATGATTAAGGCTGGGAGGGGCATTTTGGGGACTTCAGCTCTTGAGAGGGCAGTGAGAGCGGAGGAAAGATCTGAAGCACCAACCAGCTGGCCAAGGTCACCCGGTGTCCCCAGCACTGTTCTGGGAGGAATCGCCCCAGCGGGTGGCTGTGGTAGAGCTGTGCTCTCTGCACCTAACGAGTATCGATCCATATTACACAAATGCTGCTACATGGCATGCCTGCTAATGTCAGTGCTTATGAGTCAATACAGTGTGCACAGAACAGCTCTGGATCGGGCTGAAACCACCTGCAATGAGCAGCACTGCCAACGGCCTCCACCTCTGCTGCTGAAATGGAACCTGTGCCGAGGAGCAGGCAGCTCTGGCCAACTGGTCACCTTCTCTGGGCTTGTATTACTTATTACTGTTACAACTCCCCCTTTAGGCACTGAGAGGCCCTCCTGTGTTAATTTTTTTTAACAGGGTTATATCTGAAATGTAAGATGAAAAGCAATTTACCCATGCCAAGAAAGCCAGAGGGCCCTGCGACCTACTGCATCCATCTTAGCACCTCGCACAGCCAGATCTCTGTGCAAATCAGATGTGCTCCAGGACCTGAGTGCTGCCAGGCTCTGCACAGAAGGGACTTTGCTCTTGATAGGAAAACACCTCTTCCTTCCTGCTCTCCCCACGTGCACAGGAGGACCCTCACAGGAGGGTCTAATGGAGCAAACTGGAATGTCCATGGACACCATGGCTCCGGGGGAACAGGAGCAGCAGTACAGAGCTTTGTAGATACAAGAAGAGATGAGGGCCTGGTCCGAGTCTGTGAGATGGTGCTGGGTTGGCTATGGCATGGGATGAGAGCCTGCGCATGGAGAGGCAAAGCAGTGACAAGGCGGCAGCGCAGGACAGAGGCGGCTCTGCCACCTACCGCCCTGCATCCAGCACCACCTCCAACGTGCTGCATGACAAAGGAACGGAGAACGAGCATTCCTTTGTGTCCCATTCCTCAGAGGGCCTCTGGCTCAGGCCAGGCTGGGTGCAGAACCGTGCTACAATCACCATGCTGCCACAAAGCTCCACAAAGCCCGCTCCCACTGCAGCACCCCCCCACCCGATTTCTCCTCCAAGCCCGTGGCCTGGCCCCCTCCCAGCCCCCAGCTGCTTCAGCCCCCCACTCACCTGTTTGTGCATGGTGCGCTGCTTCATCTCGGGGCTGTCGCCCTTGGAGGAGGAGGACTGCTGCCGGAGACGGGCCCCGCTGCCGGGCCAGTCGGGCGAGGAGGACATCATGCTGCCGCTGGAAGGCCGCTGGTACTGCACCGTGTTCAGCAGCGAGGGCGGCGTCCTGCCCCGGGTGACGGGCGGTGGTGGCGGTGGCGGCGGCTGGTCTATCCGCCGCTGCGGTCCCGCGCTGTTCTGCCTTGGCATGGTGGGCTGCCCGCCCTTCTCTGAAAGCGAGAGCTGCCGCCGGGCCAGTTCTCCCGTGCGGCGGCTGAAGTCCTCGCTGGCGGCGGGGCCGGCGAAGCCGTGTTTGTTGGCCGTCAGCTCCTCGCTGTTGCTGTGGGAGCTGAGCGAGCTGTGGCACTCGGAGCCGGAGTCGCCCAGGCCGCGGGGCGAGAGCGGCAGCCCGGCGGCCATCTGGTACACGGGGTTCTGGAAGGAGAGCGGGGCCAGCAGCTGGGGCCGGCCGGGCGCGCTCTCACCGCTCGGCGTGGTGGGCGTCTGGCCCACGCGGCGCACCGTGGCCATACCCGCCATGCTGCTCTGCTGAGTCCGAGCGGTCCACACGCCCTGCAACTGCCCGAGGGACGACTGACTGTCGTTGAGGGAGTCGGCAGCGCCGGGCGCGTTGGCCCCGCTGTCCAAGAGCCGATTGTCCTGCAAGTCCACCATGGACAAACTCTTGCTGCCATTTGACATCTGCACGTCGGGCTCATTGGCCTCTGAGTAACTGGAGCTTCGGGCAGGTGAGGGCTGGGCCCCAGCAGACCTTGTGACAAAAAACAAGTCCTTGTTTTCGGGGGTTGGAGATGGTAACCGTGTGAAATCTATCAGACTGCGGGGAAGTCAGTGCGCGAGGAAGAGGAGAGGAAAACAAAACAAAACAAAGAAGAGTTGTGAATGCCACACAGGAGCAGGAAAACATTATCACTCAGAAGCATTTGGTGTGGCACAGCTGCACGGGAAGCAGGCACAGCCCGCCCTGCGGGGACAGTGCACAGGAGTGGGGATGTGGGAGCAGAGGGGCCCTGGGCACGGAGCTCCGTGCCACGCAGGAGTTTATAGGCTCACAGCACACTGCTTGCAGCCTCTGCTTCACCATCCACGCTCTGCTCAGCGTGCCAACAGCGCACCAGCTTCCAGCTGGCCGTGCCCTCAGCACTCCTGCCTGCCCAGGCACTAAGCTGCCTCATATTGGCACGGCACCCTGCAGACCAGATCCACACTGCGCATCCGAGGGTCAGACACAGGGCGGTAACTGCAGAGCTAAATCCTAGCAACTGAAAGTTATCCACCCATTGCTCCTGCTGTAGCAGATAAATTCAGGCAATATTGATTTCTTGCAGACAGGAAGAAAGAGCTTTGCAGTAGCTCAATGTGAATATACCACTGATCAAAGGTGATGCAGTGTAAGCAAGTATTTGGGTGATGGCATACTAGTAGAGATCCTCCATAGCATTAAATAATTGTACCTCAAGCTGGGAAGCATTAGAGATGAAAGTCCAGCTCCATTGCTGTCTTTCATTCCTAATTAAACTGTTAAGAGTTATGCAGGTTCCACTTACAAACTATTTTATTAGCAGTGTCTTTCAATTTATGTGGGCTCTATTTCATTTTCCACAAACAGAAACATTTTTAGTCTGCAACACAGTCATCTTTCCCATGATTGATTTTTCTTACATAATTAGGCCTAAAAGTGTGTTTGGTGACTGTGTCTGTGAATCACTGCTCGTTAAAAACACCCATTTATTATACAAGCAGGATGGAGCAGACTGGAACTGACTGTTAGGCCTCTGCAGCTTGCCCGCTGGTAGTGGAATGCCCAGATTTGGACCACACTGAATTCAGCACATACCCAATGTCTTACAAAGATGGATAAAACCAATAAATCCTGCATATGCAGACACCTTATGAACGTTCATTGTTTTGAGGTTAGTAGCCTCAATGCTGTCAAAGGATGGACGTGTTGCTTCTGCAGCTGAGTGTCAAGAGTGGAGCTCAGAACCAAGTGTTTGATTTCCCACACCACATCCTCAGTTCTGGCTCAGGATGGACCTAGGATGGACCTGCTGACTTGCACTATTGCCAACTGCTACGCCTAGATTCAGAGCTGAACTACACCCAGTATCAGTTTTGCAATTGGAAAGCTTTGCCAATGAACCAGGAAAATCCACGCTACACCTTGTCCTGCCTGAGCCCACAGGCACTCAGGTTCTGGTAACAGATAAACGTTCAGTATTTCCCTGGTCTGCGGCCAGGCCGCCTCTTTTGCTCTTACCCAGATAAGTCATTCTCTATCACCATTTTCTGCAGCCCTGCAGAGATGCTGTTCCCAGCACTGGGCGTGGATGCAGTGTGATCAGCTGTGACTGAGACCTGCACGCAGGCCGGGTTACTGAGCGCCGAGTTGACGTCCCTCAGGATCCGCGGCAGAGGGCCAAGTTTTGTTGCAGTGCTCTGGAGAGACAAGAGCAGAGTTACTACCAACATCATGGGTTGTGCAAGAAAACTTCGGGTTCTGCCAATTGCTGGGCAGCCTCTTTCAGGGAACTAAGTTAGCAACATTCATTTTCTCCAACGTTTAACTCCAGTGCAAAGGCTACAGCCTATCCCAGAACACACAGCTTCAGAAGTTATTTGCAGCTGTGGGGCAGAAGGAAGCTAGCACACTTCAGATGGTTCATACGAAGATGACACCTGTGGCCAAGCCTGGTTCAGGTCACTGGGCAGAATTCCTTTTAATATAAAAGGAATGTGCTGGGACAAACAAGGCAGCCTGGTGTTCAGCAGCTCTGCCTTCACATCTCAACATCCTCACCCCTCAGTGATGAAAAGCAAAGGCAGAAGGCAGTACTCGCCAGCCTCAAAGAAAGCCACAAAGGATGATCTCCAGCAGCATGTGCACAGGTGGAACAAGAGCCAGTAGGAGCTGTGCTGTGCTCCCACACCGTGATGGGGTGGTACTGGCTGGACAAAGGGGAGGTGTATGCTGCAGGGCAGCCCGTGTGCCCAGCGCTGGCTGAAGTCTGTCCCTGCAGCCCCCTTACCTGCTCCAGCTGAGAAATGACTTCCCAGAGCAGCGAGTGCAAAGTAGACAGTTCCCGGCCCAGGTCAATATAGCCTTCAAAGCCAGCTGTGTTTGAGATGGTTTCTGGATTGGAAATCTCCAGTAGGAATCTCTGCATGTTGGTCCACTCATGCTCCAGAAACTGATTCATAAAAGACATATATTCCTCTTTGCTGCCAAACCTGTCGAGACAGCAAAACAAGTCTCAGCTAAATCCCGTAAATAGAGGTGCAGTGAGCAGAATGAGCAGCTATATATGCAGTGTCTTCCTCTGGCATCTGAACGCGTGCAAAGCTTTTGGGATTACCAGGCTGCTAACAAGCAGCGGGTACCAAACAAGGAACCCAAATTCCAGCCTAACCCAGCTAACCCCTCATCAGTGCGAGATCTCAGCAACAGAAATGAAGGTGAAAGCCATAGAAAAAAGGAGAAATTATAACACCAAGCCCAATCAACTGACTGGAGCACAGCAAGTGATGGCTGCAGGAGTCCCCAGCAATTCTGCAAGGAGAGGCTTGGTCACGTGCACTTTGCAGGACAGCTTGATCACTTTGGTTTGACTAATGTCAGCTTAGTGAAGGAGTCTTTCCTGTAAAATGCTGAAAATCTGAAAACCCTTCAGGTTAGGGATTGGTCAGGAATATGGAGAATTTCTGTCATCTGGTGTAACACACTCGCATGTCTTCCTCCTGTGTGTGCACGCATGTGCATTCCTGGCTGCAAGTGTGTATGCTAAGCTAGCTTCTAAATCTAAGAAGCTTTAGACAGAGACTGTCCATTCATGTTTCAGAAAGCTCATCATTTCGTTATCAGAGCTCAGGATAAGTAGCTCAGAGCTGCAGCCAGAGGAAAGATGTTCAGAAATCTCTTGCTTTGTTTCCATCAAACCTATGGGCTTATTTAGAAACTGGTAGTGTGTCCCCATTAGCTTCTCTTGCCATCCCAGTTCAAACAATTGCACTGTAACAGCTCCTTGGAGGCACTGAGCTGCACACACCGTTTGGGTGCTGGTCCTGCTGGTGCCTGTGGTGGGAGGCAAAGCAGATGCCATCAGCTTCCCCCAACACAGCCATCATGGGACAGATTTCCTGGCTGTGCCTGGGTGTTCTGCTCTGTGGTCAGAGTAGTCTGCTTTCCTACTCATAAAACACATGGCTGTTTTGGAAACTTAAATGATCTCCCTGACATAAAAGTGAGAATCCCAGAGAGACAGGGAGGAAAAAAACAACAGAAACCAAACAGGCCCTTTGCATCAGGAAAGGAGCAGCCAGCGTGGGATGCCTGCTGCAGAAGCTCTGCTTGCAGCCCTGGGGTTTCCTCCCCCTCTTCAGAACTCCTTCTTACTTGGCAAAGTTGGCCAGGTTCTGGGTGACCTTGGCAATGAGGGTCAAAGTGCGTGCAGTGCGGTCGTCCGGGTACTCCTGCAGGAGACTGAAGAGGGAAGGGGACATGATAGCTGGGCAGAGGAAGCGGAGGAACAGGGAGGCACTGATCAGTCGCTCGCTGATGTCTGGGCGGCCACGGTTGCTGCACTCCTGTCTCCATGAGGCAAAAACTTCTTTGAGCTCCCTTGGGAAGACACTGAAATGACAAGAGGACGCACAGGGATGGTAAGTTCAAGGCCAGGGTGTTTGAACTGCTGCACAGTAATAAATAAACATGCTGTGCACCAGCCATTGGGTATGACAGCCAGACCCTTACACCCTGCTGACCCACAGCAGCACCTCCACCTATACCAATCACAGGCTTCTGTTTTTCTTTTTTCCATCTTTTTTTTTTCTGCCCAGAGCATCCATTAGGATATTCAAACCACACAGGAAAAAGCCAAGCCAAAACCTCCAACAACCGGGAAGGGGGATGGGAAATCAAGCAGCTCATCATCACAAGTTATGTAGTGTGTACCACCCTGGAGAGATGGGGCACTGCCCGTGAGCTGTGGGACACTGGGGGTGCGCCAAGGTCACCGGTGCAGCTGGTGCTTGGAGGGAGGGCTGTGCAAATTGCACTGCTCCTGTTCAAACTCTTGGAGCAGATCCCACAGAGACAAGGGCAAAGCAGAGCCACGCTGCACTTAGTCCAGCCTTGCAACTGCATCGGCCTCGGCCAGGCTTCCCAAGGCACCAGACCTCCCCCAGGCCAGCAGCCCTTATCGCCGCGATAAGCAGCTGCCTGCCCGCTCTCCTCCCAGCTCCCTGCTCCCACCTTATCCTGTTCCCAGCACAGGCTGTTTATGCAGCTGGATACTCCCACGCAGGAGCGGGCTGACAATGGGTCCCCAATGGCCCCCAGGCCTCCCGTATCAACCCTTTCCCCGGCCCCAGTGCCTGCCCTGGCCACAACCACCGTCTTTGTTTGAAACCCAGAGTCATTCACCTACAGAGCTGGATGGCATAAAAGCGGACCGAAGGAGGTCAGGCTCCATTTTAGGTCACACGTTTTCTTAACAAACAGCCATTTCAGAGGATGTTTTCCCAGTTCTGCTGCAGGGACTACGTGGGATGAGCGGAGCAATGTGAGCTGGCTCCCAGCAGCCACGTGCCCCACTCTGGGACTGACTGCCCTGCTACTGACCCCCACATTTGTTGGAAAGAGAAAGCCACGTGTGCCGTGCTGCCAGAGATGCTGTCCTGCTCCCCTGGTGCAGAAGCCTGTCCAGCCACACTTGCTGTGCACACGGGGTGCACATCCTCATGCTTGAAGTTTTCTCCATCCTGACATGAGCACAGTGCTCAGAAAACGCTGCCACTGTGTTTGGCTTCTGCTCCACACTGGATTCATGCTTTCTCCCGCATGAGCTTTTGCCCTGTGCTTTATAAGTAACACCAGCCAACATCTTTGGCTGAAAAAGTTCTCTCTCTTTCTTGATTCGCACAATTGGACAAAGCCCTTTTACTTCACGGTATTTGCCCAGAAATAGGAGAATCCTTTAAGCAATTTAAGGCTTGAGTGATCAGGACAGGTTGTACAGTTACTGGAAAGTAAGCCCTTGGAAACGCATGCACCAGCAGCATGCAGCCCTAAGCACTGCTCACTGTCACGGGCTGCGAGATCATAAAAGTTTAATTGTGTAATGGCGTATGGAATTCAGTTAGCTGGCTTTATGTGACAAACGGGCCCGTAATTCATTACCCAAGTTTCCAGTAACGAGCTTCCACATGCTGAAATTCTGCTTACGCCGAAACTTTCCAGATGTCCAAATTATGTCATAATTATAACAATTTTCGGTTATTGTAAACCTCTTCCCTCTCTCTGACTCTCTGGCAGATGAGCACACACACTCCTGGCACTCTATTTAAAGCAAGACCGCTAGCTGTCAAGATCCCTTGGCCAACTCTGAATTCTCGATATCAGCCCAATTAATCCCCAAGAACTGCTGAGCACAAAGGAGCAGGAGGGGATCGCCCAGAGCTGCAGCTCAGCTGCTCCAGCCCTCCTCGGAGCAGTGGGACTGGAATCCACACATTCCCAGCTTTCCCTACATCACTTTTCAGACCTATTTTTAGGCCAACCTTTTAGTGCTGCTTTGGGTATTTTTAGGAAGGCATTAATTTGAACAATTATTATCCGCCGGTGACTAAAAGCAGTGAACTCCTCTTGGGAGAGCAGGTAAGCACAATTCGTGAGTCAGAGTCATTAACTGGCTCAGTTAAGGTATGCACTACCTGCACAGAACTGTGCCCTTCTGCCTATTTGTGGTGGATGCAGGAAGTGTGAACAAGCCTCTTGCTGCTCGTTCTCTCCCTGAGCAACACCAGGAAAAGCAATTCCCTTCCTTCTGGGCTTGCAAGACAACACACTCTGTATCTAGGGGGATTACGTACAGTGAGTTTTCAGACCTTAACACAACAGCTGGGATTGGGAAGAAAATGAGGAGTTCTGACTACCAAAGACTTCCTTCCTCCAAGACAATCCTTGGTTGATGTTTGGCAACAACAGCATTGCTACAAAGTACATCAATAACAACTAATCTCAGATTTTTAACCAGGAAGACTGCAAACGCTGCAGTAGGATAAAAACGTTTGCTCTATTCAGCCAGGACGAAAACCTGTGGGTCTGCTAACAAGACACACAAAGAAACTATTTTTGTTCCTCTAAGTAACGAGGGTCACCAGCACATTTCTCCCCCTCCCAGGCACCATCTGCAGCAGTCTCATGGGCTGCTGGCCCCCGCAGTCTCCAGCGCTGAGGAGCACAAACCAGCACCACCAGACATCACAGCACACCACTGCCTCACTCCAGTCAGGTTTGCATACTCAGGCCAGCTGTCCCTGAGGGCCAGGACACGGACGGGTTAACCCTGAGGAATGCAGGATGCTAAGCCAAACAGCAACAGAGCACTAACAGCAGTGTCCTTGCTCCAGAACTCTGCAACAGGAGTCTTCTGCCTCTACAAAAGCTCCCTGTGCTGCTGCAGCTTCCCTGCTGCACCAGGAGTGCCACAGACCCTGCCTGCTGCAGGAGGATTCAAAACTTCAGTGGTTGCTCTGGGGAATCAGGCAGTCCATACTGACCCACCTGGCACATACAGATTTGTGACATGGGTGGGAGACTCAGGACAAGCATTCCTGATATTTATTCCAGGCTTTTATACATGGTTGGTATAAAGTCCCTCTCTGAACTGGTCACACTGGCAAAGGCAGCTCTTACTCTTTGGCTCTACCACCCTGCCCTGCCTCTGTGCTGCAGTGACCTTTCACCACCTGCTGAAATGCGATGGGTACTCAGCCCTGAAGGCAGTGTGGAACTGCATCCCCAAACTAAACAAGCTCAGCAGAAAATCTGTCCTTGAAAGAGCCTTCTTCTGTGCACAGCAGTCCTCCCATTCCCATGCCAGGCACACAGGAGCTCAACAAGGCACTGCACATCTTTGCAGGTGCACCTACCACTGCCTGTGCCACCCCTGCTCAGCCCAGTCCCCCTGGCAGTCTCACACAGAAGCCCCCCAGCTACCCTTTGGGTTGGCAAGGCCGTGCCAGGCAGACATGGCCTGAGCCCGACACCATACTGCTCCTCTATGGCAGTTCGTGGAGGGGAGTGATGCCCGCAGGGTACTGACCAGTAGGAGTTGATGATTTTGCAGAAGGCCAGCTCGCAGCACATCTTCAGGTTGCTCTGATGTTCAGGGAGGTCTGAGGATGAACACTTACTCGGATCCACCTCGCAGTTTTCATCTGATTCATAGAGAGCCTTGATAAATTCCCCTGTAAAATAGACAGTGATGGGTTTTGGAGATGCAGCCTTCAAGCAAGCCCCAATGCTGTCACGCAGGCTGGACCCTGGAGAGCAGGGCCATTCCCTGCCCTCAGCTGGCAGTGCCGACCTGCTTACCCCCAGCTGCTGCCCTGGAGCTGCTCTGCCAGAAGATCTCTTTCCCCTGCCTGCCCCAAACCCCCAGCCGCCCCATTGCAGCCACACTCCCCAGGGCTATCTCCAGGAAGCATGTGGCAGGTTCTGTCATCATCTGTATGATGTCCTGCTGCCGTGGGCTGCGCCTGCTACAGTCCCCTGGTGCTGACAAGCCAGTGTGATTCACAGAAGAAATGGATAATTAAAGGAAAGAAACAATTTACTTGGTTTATTTTGAGCTGAACATCACACCAAATCGAATTACAGCATTTCTGTGAGCTTCCTTGCATTCCTGCCTGCCTGCTCCTAACCAGAGGTGCCCCAGGCTTAAACCAAACCAGGCCGTGGGCAGTCCTGGTGCTGCAGGTCCAGCTGCGTGTCCCTGGTCCCATGGCAGGGGGGTGGCACAATGGGGCTGCAGCAGGACCCAGAGGCAGTGCCAGGCCCTGCAGCCAGGGGATCCTGGGCTTCATGTGGCACTACAGGACAGGCTGTGCTCGGTGCTTTGGTTCCCCCCTCACTCCTGTTGGTCATCTCCCAATTCTTGACCTGTCTGGGATTTTCCCACCTTTGTGCTTTCTGCTCCCTCTCATCTGCACTCTTCCCTTTCCTCAGCTCAAACAGATATTAAGTACCAGAGGGCCCATCTGGTGTATTTTCAGCTCTGCTGGGAGCTGCAGAGCTTCTCTGCCTGCCTGCCAGCAATGCCTGCTGTTATGATCCGGCCCTATTACCAGCTTGTGCCTCGTGGTTTGAAGGAAAGCACCACACTGCACTGAGCTCCCTCTGACATACAGATTAATTATTTCCCTGATAAAAGGTCCATGCAGAACCCATGCCTGAACACCATGCAGGAACTGCAGGCTGCTCCTGCATCAGGCAGCAGCATCAGTCTTGACAGGGGACCATTACAAAAGTTGCTGCCTTGATTAATCACCTGGTTTTTCAGAAATTTTTTGAGATAAACTACTTACAGACCTCAACCAGAACGGATTACAAGACAGGAATAATGAAGATTTCTTCTCCTCTTCTGGTGGGCTCCCTGCTGGTCTGACTGCATTTGCTCCCCTTCCTCAACTTCATCAGTACATTATTATCTTCATGAAGTATTTATACTTTTGTGGTCCTTGCTAGAATTACACAAATTCACTAGCAGGAAGCTAACATGCTGAAAGACTCAGCTCTGCAGAAATGTTGCTCGCCCCTCTGCAAGGATGTGCCCAAACCCCACTGCCTTTGCTCGCACAGAGCAGCCCCCAGCCCACGCTGTGCTGCCTGCACGCAGCAGCGCTGCTCTTCCTTCCTGACCAGCCCAACAGCGGAACCTCTAATTATTTTCATTTGCATCAGGAGAAATATCTTTGGAGCCACGAGCATAGCCAGCCCTTTCAAAAACCACCAGGAGGGTTCCCGGTGCTGTGAGGGAGGCAGCTCTCATCACTGTAATTTGGGAGATTTCATCTGACTCACAAGCGCTGCGAATAACCGGGGGGAGCATCTCCGGCCGGGGGTGTGCAATCAGGGAAGGATTCAGTCAGCCTCCGTGACACTGCCACTGCTGACACAGAAGGCTTGGCAGGCCATGCCTGCAAATACCATTTCGCTGTTTCCTGTGGGAGCAGACGAAGCGCCAGCTGAGCGCTCACCTTCACTTGGGGCTGTGCTGCCCTGCTGTGGGCTGCACCTCGGGCAGGCAGCATGTGGCCTTCAGGCTTCTCCAGAACCGCTGGAGGTCACCTGCTGGGGGAACACCACCACCTCGAGGGCCGTCAGGGCTCGGCCTGCACTCAGCACTGTGCAGAGCAGCCGACCCTTGGTACGTACCTAAGGCATCTTGCAAGTATTTCTGTCCCACCAACTTCAGGTATTCCTCGATTGCTTTGGTGGCCAGTGTGTTCTCCCTGAAAATGAGATGCTCATTCTCACCACAGCGATCAACTTCAGACATCATCAGGTCAGTCAAGAAATCCTGGAAAGCAAAGCCCATGGTGGGTCACCAGGTACAACACATCCCATGCAGCTCTCCCAGCACACGGGGAGCGGAGCGCCGCAGTGTCCCCGTGCACACAGTGCTGCTCCTGCTCCCCACAGAGACAAGAGCAGAAATCAGTCTCTGCACAGTGACAGCATCTGCACCCCCAAAGCGATCCACTCCAGGCCTGCACCACATTTACCCCTCCATCAGTTTCAGCTTTCTGATGGGTCCCATTTTGGCCTCGTGTTTTGTGGATGAAGTACTTTTCCCACTGTTCAACACGGCTGTGTTTGTACCAAACTGCAGTGGCTGCAAACTGGGGGCATAACCTGGGTGTCGTGAGCTGTGCCCCACAGTTAATGGCTGAGAATCAGGCCTGCAATAAGCACCAGGGTTACCCAACGTCCTATTTCCCAGTACCCATGAAAATAAACAGCACTGTTACAGCACGCATTGCGGGCGCTTTGCTGGGCTGACTTGCACAGAACCAAATACCACACAATTTCATAATCCTCTGTGCTGCACAGAGATGGAAGGGGTGAGCAAAGCAGTGTGCACACTGACAGCTGCCCTGTGCACGGCTCTGAGCTCCTGAATTGCAAACACCAATAGAAAGCCAGCATCTGAGACTGAGCTCTACGTCTCCCTCAGCAACAGCATCAGTGATCAGAGTGTCACGTAACTCCCAGTGCATTCTCTTGAAAATCCACTGTGTGGTGTAATGTTTAGTGTGCTGTAGCTAGAACTAATGCAGGAGAAATGCCACGCAGGTTTTAATGCTAACACACATTCAGCTCCCATTCTCTACACTGCTCATGAGAAAATCCTCCCACCTATGCTGCTCACCTGGATGCACAGCAGGCCGGGCTGCCAGCACCCCTCATCCTGCATGAAAACCAAGTCCCAGTGCAGGAGGCAGGAATGCTGACCTACAGCTTCACTTCTGTAGCCAAGAGCACCTTTTCCAAACCACGTTACTCTAACACTAAACAACTTGCTCGGGAATAACCTTTCAATGAGAAATTCTCCTTCATGCAGCAGGAGCACACAAGATGTACATAGCTCATTTCTGGGCATGGGCAGCAGGCACTCCTGGAGGTGCTGTGTAGAGCTGCAGCTCCTGCACACTGCAAGTCTAACCAGGTTCAGAAAGCAGCTCCACCCCAACACATGGCGGCACGTTCTGCTCGCCTTCCAACCTCTGCTGAACCCCAGGTGTGACCTGGAATCCTCAGGCTCACACTGGGACGCACTGCTGGTCCATTCCAAGGCCAAACCACAGCACCTACACAGCTCTTCATTACTGCGCTGCTGCCCCAGGTGAAGCCAAACCCAGGCTGCAGGCAGAGGCACGAATCCCTCCATGATTTTCTGCCATTTTGCCCCTTTTATCAGCCAAGCCCGAATGAAACTTTAAACTCCTGCTCAAATCCCTCTAGCCGCTATCTGGGTACCTCCATCACCTTTATCTCCCTGGTTCTCTCCCAGGATGCGTTTCAATTCCAAGCCACAGCTCCAGCTGACACAAGGTGCTGATTCTTAATTAGTAGCTGCTGACCTTGGCTTTGCTTGATTCTCTTTCCTGTCACTTTCCCAACATACTAATTATCTCAGGAGCACTGAGTTTTACTGCTCCTCCTCCAGTCAGCTGAGGACCCGTGCTGCCTCCCCCTGAGCGCAGGGCTGCAGAGCTGTGGCAGGACGTGGGGACGCAGTGCCAGCTCCCACACAGAACCCAGCTGCCTGCCAGAGCTGCAGAGACCCGGGCAGCAGGTTCTAGCCAGCAGCATGCGAATTTTGATGATTTCAGCTAACAGGCAGAATTCACTAGAATTAAAAATGAGTCATACGTGACTCGAGACAAAGCCAGGAAATATCCCTTCAAAACGTCTGTGGCAGTCACTGTCCCATACGGAGCACCAGCAGCAGCTCAGCAGGTGAGAGAACAGCTCTGCTGCCTGGGAGCAGCCAGGAAAACTGCCTGCAGCCCAAGAAGCTCCATTACAGCACAGCAGCCACGGCTGGAGCACGGTGTGCTGGGACAGCCCTGCCACCATCAGCAGACAGGCTGTGCCACAAGGCAGGGCTTCTCAGCAGCCCGGCAGCTCCCTGGTGACACGGAGCCAAGCCAGCCAGCCCTGAGCCGTGCTGCAGAGCCAGGCACTCCAGGAAGGAGCACTGATTGTGGCTCAGCCCTCCGCACCAAGGAGCCGCATCAGCTCCAGATCACATCTGCCATCTCTGCCTCAAGAACGCCAGCAGCCAACACTCGGAAGACACAAATGGAATGCAAATACTTGTTGGATCCTTCTGGGGGCTTCACTCACCCACATACAAGTCTCCAAATAAAATGCAATAACTAAAGCCAATAAACTCCCTGTTTGTGAACAGCAGAGATCAGTGGGGGGTTGTTTTTAGTTAGGGCCCCTGGCAACGGAAGAAAATTAGATGCTTTATTTCATTACATCAGAGTTTAGAGGGGAAGGGAAAGGCCTACAGTAAAAATTAAGGGCTGTGGCAGTGCTCTTCAGGCTCGCTCCTGCGATTATTGTAGGGATATTTGTCCCAACTGGACATTGCTGAACCTGTGCAACCTCAGTCACCACACATATGCTGATAAGGAGGAACAACTCATAAATAAACAAATTAAGAGCATGACAGAGCAAGACAGCACCAGCTTCCAGCACTCCTCCAAGTAGGAGCTACACTCCTGCACTGCCCCAGCAGCCCCGCACTGCCCAGACACAGCTGAAGGTGAGCCTGAGGCAGAGAAACAGCAGCTGGGAACAGGGGCTGCTCCGGAGAGGGCCTTGAAGGGGAAAGGCTCCTTGCAAAGTGAAATCCACTGAGTGTGAAATTGACACCTGCTCAAGAAACAATTCTACACTGTGGTGCCAACAGGGCCAAGCAATTGGGCTAATTGCATCACTCAAGCACACAAAAGCCAGGAGAAGCAGCTCCTTCACAAGACAGAGCTGCAGAAGGCAGCCAGCTTTGTCACCACCCAGTCCAGGCCCTGCCTGCAATCCCACACCTGTCCGGGTCCGACAGCACCAGAGGGGCAGCATCAGGAACCTGCAGAGGAGCTCAGGGTGCCAGGAAAGGTCCTGCAGCACCAGTCCTGCAAGGACAGGCACAGGAGAGCAGAGAGGGGCTGTCGGTGCTGAGCGAGCTGCTCTGTTACTCAGCGCCCAACCGGTGGATTGGTGGCGAGGTCTGGGGGTTCTCCACATAGCAAGGCTCGTTAATAGGATTGCCTTCACCTTAAGAGGATTGAATTGATAGAGGTAATGAGATTAGTGCTCATTTCAGAAAGCAGCCCAGAGTCCAGCAGGGCTTTTATGCAGCAGTGAAGAAGGAAGCCCTGGGAGGAGGTCAGGCAGGAGGTGTGGAGCTGCACATCACAGCCCAGCCTCAACCCTTTGCTGACACGCGGTCTGCAAGGAGCTGTTCTGGAAAACACCCGTGGTGCTCCTTCTGCTCAGCACAGGAGCTCGTGCTCCAGCACCTCTGCTGTTACTCATTTTCCTTGGGAAACAGAGGGGAAACAGCACCACAAGGGTTAACACACAGGCAGCTATGGCCATGATGTTCTCACGGCAATAAGGAAACCCAACTGCAGGACACGCCATCAGCGTGAGAGCAGAGCAAGCACCACCTCCCTGAGCTGGCAGCAGCACAGCCCTGCTGCACAGCACACTCCTGCTCCCACACTGCACTCCCCTTCCAGCCTCCTGACCTGCCTGACTGCTGTGCCTGGGGGGAGGGCAAAGGGGAGCGGGCGTGCGCATAACACTGAATAAAAGCTTTATTAGCTTGATTATGGCTGCTGTCTAAAGCAGTATGGGGGAGACTCCTTGCAAGGGAATGATGCCAGCATCACCTATGGCTGCAGGTGTGCAGCAGCCTGGCTCCCCAGGCTGGGACACACAAGCACTGATCCCCATCAGGCAGTCCTACACGCAGGCTGGGCAGGAGGCAGGGAGACTGCAGCAGCCTCACGTGGAGGAGCGAATGCATCTGCTTATGGAAAGCAAATCCTTGCGGCATAAACAAATAGGGACACATGTTTATTCTTCACTCCATTCACACCATAATAAATATTTATTTCAAGTGAGCAGCTGGTTAGTTAGAGCTTTGTCTGATGCTGGATTTCATCTACCAACCATTTGGACAAGGAAGTTTTTTTTTATATATTTATGATTATTAACTGAGCTGCAAAAGCTGTGAGAGAGCCCTGAAACAGACCTAAGCGAGGGAAGCATTCTGCAGGTGCTGAGAGCCCCAGCCCTTCTCCCTCTGGGAAGGATGCAGCCTGCCTCTCTGTAACCACATCACACAGCCCACATCAGCCTGGGCTAATGGCAGGGCTCAGCACACCCAGCATTTTTAATTACCACTTTGTGTGTTTTGTCTGTGGGCTGAAAAACACATCAAAATAGTCAGGCATCTCACCACACCCTTATAGGTAACACTGGTGCCTGTGATGACGGGAGGATGGCAGTACCCAACACGTGGAAGATGCAGGGCAGTGCCTCCTCTGGGCCGGCCAGCCCTCAGCCAGCCTGCCTGCACTGCCACCTGTATCAGAACGCTCTTCCCTTCTCCCCACCTTGGCAGCTGCTCTGGGCTTTCTAGCCATACCCTGATGCACTCCGAGCCCTCATGCAGCTCTGTGGGGGTGAAGCTTTTCCCTTTCCCAAGCAGAGATCAAAGGAAGCACGGCCTCTGACTCCAGGGAGGACTCTGCTTTCATTTCCCATCTTTTAATCTACTGTGATAAAGAAAGGAAGCTCAGGCTGATGCAGTTATTTAAGGGAGAAGATGCAGTTGCAGCCCTTGCCCCCCTGCTGCCAACACCATGCCTGCCTACAGCTCTGACCAGCCCCATTAAAGGCTCCTGGCTGCAGCACAGCAGGCACTGACAGGAGCCGGGGGCTGTGCAGGGCTGCTCTGTCCGCAGGGCTGCTGGGGCAGCAGGCACTGCCATGCATGGCTGCTCTGCCAACCTGGGGGACCACTGTGCCTCAGCAAGGGACTGCACTGCACCCACAGTGCACAGCTACAGGAAAAACAGCACCTGAACACCGTGAAGGCAACCAGCTGCTAACACATCTCCATAGATAACCTGCCGGACACTTGTTTCTCACTCCAGCTGTAATTGCTGCGTTAGTGTCACCTACAACAGCCAAGAACCACAGAAAGTACTTTATCAGTGAAATGAATTAGCAACTGCCCATCACCACATCTGTGCTCTTCAGCTCAGAGAGCTCTCTTCCCCACGGCCCCACAGAGCCCAACACAGGCACAGCGGAAACCCAGGCGGGGCTGAAGTCTGCTCAGGGACAGGAGCACCACGATACCAGCACAGCCCATCTGCTCTGCATGGGGCTCCACGCTGGGCATGTGGCCATGTCACACACACAGGGTGGGTGGGTGCTCTCCTCTCCCATTCATCTATTTTTTTTCTCCCCTTGTCGCCAGCTTTTCCTTTTCTCTGCTTGTCCAACTCCTCCACGAAGGAGCCATCACCCGGTTCCCATGCTCCAGTAACTCCTGTTGCTTTGACAGCTCTCTCAACCCTGTGCTAACGCTGATGGCAGATGACAGGCAGAGAAAGCAGCAGCTCCATTTTAGGGGGCAATACATCACGTCTGTTTACTGTTTGCAGCATCCCCCGTGCAGAGCCTCTGGGATCTCGAGCACTAGGACAGACACGAGCCTGAAACATCCCTGCTCTCTCCTGAGCCTCGCCAGCACTGGAGAGAGAAGGAAAAAGCAGCAGCAGTGACAACAGCTCTCAGATACGCATGCACACGGCTCACAGTGCCCGACATCGGGGTGACACTCGATGCCTTTTGCACCAGAGTTGTGCCAGCCACGCTCAGAGTTCTTCCGGGTGATTTTATCTCAGCCATAGCTATAGCATCAGTGCCACCAGAGCTGCAGTGAAGGGCAGCTTGGCTAGCAGTATCAGCAGAAGGCAGGGCCAGGCCCACAAAGCATAGCAAGGCCCTCCCAAAGGAGCAAGGGAGGGGACACCTGGGGTGCTCTCGTGGCATTACAAGAACAGGATCACACATGCCCCGAGCTGCTCCTGTCTCCATGGAGTGGGGCTGCATACCTCACTGCGTGCTCTGCAGCCCCATCCCAGGGTCAGGGAGGCTTAGGGCTGCTATTTTCATTCCCTCTGCAGCAGCAGGACCTCACAATCCTCTCAGAGAGCTTCTCCAGCCTTAAACTTATCCAGGAGGCCAAGCCACTTCTCTGTACAACAGATGGTAATTAAATCTAATCCATGAACCCTGTCATGATCCCAGGCAACAGCAGAGGCTGCAGAGGAAGACTGAGTCTCACAGTGCCCCTCAGGTGAGCAGCTTGCATTTCCTCCACTCTGCTAAAGCTCTGGAAATGTTGCTCTTCCTGAAGACGTGCTGCAGAGCTCAGGGAGACACTAACAAAGAAAACTGTTGATGCTCTGACTTGGCTGTGCTGGCTTGTGGACACGCAGCAAGGACACACCACAACAACTCCATGCTCTGCGGAACTCAGGGCTCTGCACTGCTCTCCAGAGTAAGGGGGTTTCCAGCTCTGCTCCTCTGCCTTCGCTCCCAGGACCTCTACTAGCAGTAAATCCTGCTCCCTCTTCTTCCTCACTTGCTTCTTCCCCAGACCCAGGATTCCCAGCCACAAAGGACGGTCACACACTGCATTTCTACCACTCACAAGCTGGCCAGCATCAACTCCCCAGTGAATCCTGCCCCAGGAGTGCCCCAGGCCCTCCCACACTGCTGCCTCATCACATCTCTTCTGAAAGCAACAGGACAGGCCCCAAGGACTTGAGACTTGAGTGCCTGGAGGTGCAGTTTACTTTGAATTCTCATGGCACCCCCTTGTACGCACTCACATTTGGTGCTGCAGTGCTGTACAGCAGGGAAACCTTCTGGGATCCCACAGGAACACCCAGCACATGCCAGCAGCATAGCTTAAGCCAGCACTGCTCACACTTCATTCCTGAGAAGCGCCTTCTTCCTTCCTGTTACATTTGTGCCTGTTCACAGAATAGAAGTCTGGTCCCTAAGCCTCCGGAAGCAGAGAAAAATGACTAAAGTTGGTATCTTGGGGTCCTACTGATCTCCTTACTAATTAAGCAATTAGCAGTGCACACGCTACCAACTTGCTTGCAAGAAAAAGCAAAATTACACTGTATTAGTGATGGCTGAGACCAGCTGAAATGGTGACTTCCAACAACCCAACCCAAGTGACTGCTCCTGTCCTCTCCCCTGGCAGCTAATGGGTGCCACAGGCTCTTACCTTGGCCTTGCCTGTGCTCTGCAGGATGTGCACCAGCGCAGACGCCATCTCCTCTTTGTTCTTCACACTCAGCGAAGGCTCCAGCACTGAGCACAGCACCATGTAGTTGTTAGTGATGTACTCGGCGAATTCCTTGTACATCTCCATGGGAAGAATGCTCATGCTCTGGTAGCGGGACTTAATGCGGATCATGGGCCCTGGGGATTTGCCCTTCCCAGGGTTGGGGCTGACCACAGGGTACCACTTCTCCACAAACTGCCGTCCCGTGACAGAGCTGACAGGGATGTTCACTTGTCCGATGAAATTGGTCTTGTCCTTCTTCTTCTTCTTGTCAGTCTCTTTGTATAAGTGCACCGTAATGTTTTTGAGCGATGGGAGGTTATTAAATTCAAAGTGCTCCCCCCAGAAGACATTATCAGTTTTCAATTTACAGGTAGTTCGTGCATAAAGAACATCATCCAGGCATAATTCACACAAGTACTTTTTCTTAGCTGGCAGGTCCTTGGCTTCGATAATCCATAACTTTAACATATTCTCCACTCTTCTGCTGTTGTCCTAGAAAAAAAGATGCAACAAAAAAAGGTCAAGAAGAAAAACAAAGCCATGCATAACAAAACTGGAGATAGGTGTTAATTATTTCAGATGTGCTAAATGAGCAGAGGCTTAATTACATTTTATTTTAAGGAAATACTGGCTCTCAGGAATTTGCATAATAATGCTACTTATGTTAATTTTCCAAATATCACCGTGCTCTCCACATCTGCTGGTGCCAATTAATATAAGCAACAAGGAAGACAAAACCCCTCCGCATCACAAATGGGCCAAATCCAATTCACCACCAAAAGGACCTCAAAAGAAACCTGAACGAACCCAACCAATGACTAATGGCCTTTGCAAAGCAACACCAGTGTCACAGGTATCACACTATTACCTTTCTGATCCGTACAACCATTTTGCAGCAGCACTGCAATACATTTTTATTTATTTTTGAGTGTAACAGAGCAACAACAAAGGGACCCCAATGCACACCTAGGGATCGTCCCATCCATGGCTGGAACACAGCTACCTCTGACATGGAAGAAGCACTTGCAAAACCTCAATATTTTAAGGCAGAAGTCCAGAGCATCCAGCTAAGAGATGGAGAGGAATTACGGGACAGAGTGAGTCATATGCAGCAGAATCATTACAATTCAGAAACAGAAATTTGGCCTGGAATCACTTAGATAGCATGTAACAAAGGATACTGTAGATCTTACACAGCTCTTGGCAATGCTGACCTCATGCTGGAAGAACACCAAGGGGCATTTGCAGCACTGACTTATGGGCTCTGCAGAAACCTGGTTTGGACACCCCTCGTGAAATTGCAACCAAGGCTTATTCTGCTTGGGTTTGCAGTCTGGGCAGGAACATCTCTGCTGCGAGCCCTCAATGGGGTACTGTACTGTACTGTAGGTTCAGGAAGTACACACAGCAACTATACAAAAGCACTGGATTCCTGACAGAAATATCAACTCTGACACTGAGAGTTTATTGTCTACAAACTCAAACAAAGATGGAAAGTTAGCCATCAGCTAGCGGCATGTTTCAAGATGAGGGCACCCTTCCAAATGAGTTTCCACTGAACACTGCATCTCAAAGACACACTGAGTGCCTCACCCTCCCTCACATTCCTCAGGCTTTTCTCACAGTGTGACCTTCCAAACCTCACAGCTCCTTCAGGCCATCACTGCCAGGCCCCTGTGCTCAGAAAGGCACTGGAGCACTGAACTCCTCGTGCAGGACACACTGTGAGGGGCAGAAGCCCACCTTTGCCTCTGCTGCTCCCATTCTGATGAAGGAAATCTCTTCTGCTGAATAAGGAACAATAAGCTCAGACATGGAGGGCTGTGGCTCTGCTAGCAGCCTGCCAGGCCCAGAGCTAACCTGTAATGCAGTTATGTGCCTCTGATGCAAGGAACAAATTTACAGGATCCCATCATTTGTGTCTTCTCTGATCAGCAGAAAATGACTTGTTGATGGAGCTCATCAGCTGTGAAATCCTGCAGCTGATGAGCCTTGATCAATCTTTGTTAGCTAACTCCAGTGCAGAGAGAGGGAGATGCAGCTGTAGAATTTATTTTAGGACGTATTTAGTCTTAGTGGGTCATAAAAACACACAACTGCCTGTAAAAGTGAAAGCTATGTTCCACTATTGCCTCAAAGAGCTCACTGTGATGTGCCACCTGAATATCTCCATCACTGAAGTTGACAACACAAGAATTGCCAGAGTCAGAAAATGTGATGTGTGAACTCTTCATACTATTCCCTGGTTCTGCTGGCAGCTACTGGCCATCTGCCCCAGCACTTTGAGGGAAGTCCTACTTAAGTGGCAAGTACCATTAGTAACAGAGCAAGACTGAAGACTCTCGAGAGCTGATCATGTCTCAGCAAAAGCTGAAGCTGCACGTGCTGAGAAAAGAAGGAAGAAATAATTGGCACTTTCCTGTAAATATAATTGTGGAAGAAAGCAATATGGAAAAAGGCTGACCCACAATTACACTTACTCACTGAAATGACAATACCTCCCCTGCTGCTACTATGCACTGGGCTATAAAATGCAATAACGAGGAACTGAACTATAACAGAGGCAATTCCTCATAGCCACTACCTTATTTGGGTGCACGGCACGCCGCAGGTTTTCCATCCATTTATCTCTCTCTGCTGCAGAGCGACACGAGAAGCACTTACTTCCTGATGAAGTCGTCACCTACAGGGAAAGGAACAGGATTATGTCTTGACCAGCACACTGCAGACTGTGATTTGGGGGAGAGGGGGGGTTAGGAAAGGTGAGAGGGATTTGTTTTTATTTATTTATTTTTTAAATTTAAGTAAACAGCTTTACCCAAGCATGAAGCAACAGCCCCCTAAGGCCAGCAGAAAGACAGGGCAACTCTGTATGTCACAGAAATAATCACAGAAGCAAATTCCAATTACTTCTCCTCTTCCACACCAGAAAACACAAGATAATGGGCCCTGTGCATGTGATGCTTTAAACCACCACGTTTCACAACCGAGAGAGTGAAAATCCTTAAATGAGCTAAAGACAAACTGCAACCACTCGCCATTCCTCCAGACTCAGCCTGAAACTCCCAACAGCAGTCACCATTCCTTGCTTTCAGAAGAGCACCTTCTGGACCCCAGAGCGGGAAAAAAACATTTTTGGTTCTGAGCTCTGTCCCGAGCATCATATGGATTAGTGATCTTCAGGAGATATTGATTATCTTCATAAAGAGAGTATTCTCATCTCAACAAGATTGCGAATATGCTGGAATACTACAAAGGTAAGGAGAGAATCTGTTAATAAAACTCACAAGTAGGTGACCCCTAAAGTCAGATAAAATCCTGCCATTTTTAAAATGTCTCCAGGACTGTATGCTTCGAGGATACTCAAAGTGCACTACAAGGGGCCTCGGTGGTGCAGCACCAGAGGATGACAACCAAGTTCCATTTCACACAACAGCTGTTTCACCCAAAGCGTTCAGATGACTTTCCAGGGTGAGGCTCACACTGGCAGTAAGCAGCACAGCCACCTGCAGGAGGACACACCAGGCCAGCAGAGCCACCATGGCCGGGCAGGGGCTGGAAGGCCACGCGAGCAATGGTGACCGCTTCCCCAGCAGTGCTAAACCTCCCCCCTACATCCCCTCTGCTCAAGGAGAGGCCAGGATGAAGTTGCTCGGTTTTAAAGCCCTGCAGCAGTCTTTTCTTTCTCCCCACAGACACAGGACTTTGGTTTGCTAACACAGGAGCAGAACCCTTCCATCCTGACTGCCCCTCCTGCTCCAGGTCACCAGGATCCCAACCAGCAGAGCCAGGAATAGGCCCTGGGAGACTGGACTGGCAGAGTCCCTCAGCAGGCTGAGCTGCCCGCTGTATATTTAGCACACACGGCCTCCGCGGGGGCACCGGATGGTTTTGCTGACTGGAAGGTCTTATAAGGAGAAAGATGATGTTGAATCAATTTAAAAAGCAGTCAATGGGGAAAACAAGAAAATACTGACTTCCAAGCACTCAGCAAGTCAGTAAAAAAGCAAGTTTCACAGACCTTAAAGCAAAACAACCCAAGGCAACCTTCAGGCACTGAGGAGGGGAAAACACTCGTGCAGTTCCACTACTCCTGGCCCAGAGAACCACGTAATGCAGCACACGGTGCTCGGCCCGACACCACTGTGCCTGCCCACCACCCAGTGCGGACCCAGAAAGATCTGCAAACTCATCTCACATCCGACCTGCGCAATGTTTGAAGGAGCCTCTCTGGAGATGCACGACCAAGGCATCAACACAACATGCCATTTCGCTCTCACCCAAGCCCTTCCCTCTGGAGCCTGCTGATGAGTAACCATCAGGTACAAATCAACGTCCCTTTTGTTTCCCAGCATTCTTCCCTTCCTCTGCAGGATCTGCAGAACAGCAATTAACGTGTTCTCTTTTCTGTATGACTCTCCTTTATCCAACTCGCTTAAAAAAGGAATTTTCTTCCTCCTTACAAGTGCATGACTTGTGTCATTTCCCTCTCAGTCAACTTTCTTCAAGTACTGTTCATATCCCTTCCTCTGCTCTTGTGTGCTGAACAGAATTGATAAACAACTCTTATATTATGGATGTCACATCTATTTTCCATCTAGCTTCATTTTATCTTTCTTGAGTGGAATATAATGGAGGCCATATAATTTACAAAACTGTTTTCTCCTGACCTGCCACACTTGCTCAATTCTACAGAGAATGAACAGCACCAGAGAATTTATATCTCAACCCATTCCCTCAATTCAGAGTTCCTGTTTGGGGCTATTTTTTAATTTATTTATTTTTAAGACTGTTTCAGCATTACCTGCTTACATTTTAAGATGATATTTGAATTCATTTATTTCAAACTGTGCTAGTTCCAGAGGAACCTTCCCCTGTCCTGTCTGACTCCTGGATGCTGGCATGCCTGTCTTTGTGCATCTCTGCCCATTCTAGGAGTGTCAGCATCCCCACCAGCCCCTACAGCACAGCACTGCCCTGTTTCATCTACTCCTTGATGTTCAAGTACAACCAGGTTACCTTCTGTTCAACACACTGACCATCTTAATACTGCAAGAAAACCATTTCCTAATTCTGTGTTCAGGCACTGCCACAAGCAATAATACTTTTCCACCCATGATGCATGACAAACCATTCCCAAAAGGTATGGCACTGTGTTACCTAACAACAGGCTTGTTTGTACGTGTTTCATTGCCTCCTGCTAGCGCAGACCTAGCCATGAGCCGTAACAAAATGCATAAGCCATGTAAAAAATACCCTAAAATACAGTTTTTACTTACACAAACAAGAGAAGTTTGAGTTTTCTGGACAAAGTCCTCAACACTTCCACTGACAAAAGCAGTCTTTGTGACCACAAATAACGTTTTGTAAGCTTGGAATAGAGAAGAACACCTTCTGATATCTGCATGAACATGAACTACATGTTTATGCTCTGCTAATACACAATGCTAAGCAGTCCAGCACCCGTGTCACGAGCATACCCTGCTGTGACAATGGTTACACTGCAAAGACCTGCTCTGCTTTGTGGATATGCTCCCCCTTGGAAAGATGAAGTAATTTTCTGCCCATGGAATCGTCTCTGTGTAACGATTCAGAGCGGAAATGCTCTGTAACAGCAAAAGCCCACGGCACGATCCAACGCCCAGCTCCCCAGCCAGCTTTGTTACACGGCACACAGATGATGTGCTCCTTACCTCAAAGCAGTAGTCTTGTCCCAGGATGCTGCTGTGGACCGGCTTGATGACCACTTCTTCCTCCATGCTGAGATCCAAAGCCTCAACAGCACTACTGGGACTGAGCAGAGACTCGTGGGAGCGCGATTCTTTCAGCCTCGGCATTAGATGGGATCTGGAGGAAAAATGCAACCGTATCAGTGGATGCTTTCCTGCCCAGAGAAATGGTGAAGCCTATCTGTTAACAACAACTGCAGAATATTCCTATGAATTTTTTGCTGCGAGATAAGAGATGGCCCAGAATAGCATCCCCCTGTGCACAGGCACCCTTCCCCCCGTCCAGGCACGCATACAGCTGTACCACAGATGCAGTCAGTGTGCAGATTCTCACTCTGTAACCAACAATCTGAGGACTCGTGTGCTCCATCCTACTGTCACACACGACCCCAGGATGGGAGAGTGTGGAAAATAAAGCCATGATAGCCCTATCGATTGATCTAAATGCTCCGGAGTCCCACTGGCAGCATTTAGCAGCAGGGAGCCCACAGACAGCAAGCAGCACACCATTTTCAGAGGCAGCCAATACAATCAATGGTACTGTAACTCTTATAGCAAAATCAGAGTGCTCGAGGGGGGGAAAAAAAACAAAAAGAAAGATAGCTAGATACTCCCATGGAAAACACAAGATAGCCACAAAGTGGCAAGGGAAAAATAAAGAGAGCAGAGGGAGCAGTTGCTTTCTCTGTAGTCTGCACCACATAAAATGTTCCCATGTATGGCAGCTCACAAAAGCTCTGATCTCAGCAAACTCTGACCTTTCAAACCTCTGGCAAGTACTCTGAGTCTTCCAAAGAGACCATGTGTAGGTCTGTCTGTCCAGAAAGAGCATGCTGCTCTATTCAAAGGCACGGAAGGACAGAAATAAAGGCAACTTGAGATATTCTCAGCACAGTGCTCCTAATATTCTCCATCAGATTGCTTTGCCTGTGAGTATTGAGTTTTGTCAGTCTCCAGAACAAAGCTGACCAAAACACAGAAATGTCAATAGTGCATGCAAAATTCATGGCTTCCAGTGACTCACATGCCAAGCGCAATCTTAAGAACAGCCAAAGTCAAGTCTAAGATAAACAGCACTGGAAGATTTGGCATTAAGACTCAGGCCACAGTCAGACCCGGGGTGATAAGGACCAGCCTGCAGCGGGGTCATCCCACCCAGGCTGCATGATGGCGTGGATGGAGGAGACTCTGCAGGGCTGATGGCCAGGACCAGCATGGTGGCACCTGCTGAGGGGTCTGCAGAGACCCGCATGGCCACACGGGCATCTCTGCTCAGGGAACAACCAACAGCCCTCAAATGTTAAAAGCCCAGGGTTAATACAGACCCATACGGAATCACAAACAGTGGCTCAGAAGCAAAAACCTCTCCATCCCATCAGCAATTCTCTAAGCGGCCCATTCACCCTGTATCTCTATAGTGAATAAATTGATCTTTAAGAACAGAGCACAGTCATTCCCAGTACTTTGTGGCAATTTTACACTATTTTCACAGAAAAGGATCCATATCGGCTTCCTCTGAGCAGTACTGTAGATGAGCTCTAGGATGGGCAGATGGATCAGGTTCCCCCCGGGCGCTGAGCACCATGCTAACACCTAGCAGCCCCAGAACAGACAGCTCAGCCCCAATAAGCTCAGCACTGGGCATCCACAGGAAGGCTTCATTCTGTAATTTACAGATGAAATTAGAAGAGCTAAGCAACTGAGCTGGGACTGCACTCGTCTGGGCATATAAAAATATTGGTAACCCAAACCTACAGCTGAGGAACTGCATGCTGTAACGCACCGAGCCCGACTGCTTCATGCTGGCACAGATTTTTTTGTTGAGATTAAAACAAACCAAGGGTGTTTTTCATCCAAAATTACTGCAGCTGCAAGGCCACGGTTGGGAGTGCAGATGTGCAGCACAAAGAAGCACCACGCAGGAGCTTCTTGGGACACATTATGTTCTCACCATATTCAATAAACATTTATTTCTACCCCTCCATACTCCGCATACGCCTCTGGGTATCCTCAAGCTAGCAGGTGCCAGCCATTAGAGGCTCTTGCTTGAGATTCCAGATGAAGGCTGAGGTCTCTCTGCCAGAGGCTCCCAGGGGCAGCACCAGCACCCCCAGGCCTGGTGTCACTGCAATGGCCGGGCCCTGGGGAGCACAGCAGGAAGCGAGTGCAGGGAAGGACACTGCGTCCTCACATCTTCACACTCTGACCCAGAGGAGAAAACATTTCCCACGACTGTTAGTGAGGAACAGGACATCAGCGGCATGAGCCACTCCCTGGAAGATGCTTGCTGCCCGTCCCAGCTCCACACATCCCACTGCAGGCTGCAGGTTGTTCCTGGCTCAGGGAGATTCACTGCCCACCCCGGGACCCTTCGGCTTCACTCAGGGCCAGGCAGGACGTGGCTCCCTGTGGTCGCAGAGCTGCACCCACAGCCCCTCCTGCAGCAACAAGTGCAGAAATAACAGTAAAACAGCATCCCGGCTTACATGAGCTGACCAGATCCAGTCCTTGCACCTTTGTTTTAATACGGTGGGAACAGACAGCTGCCCAAAGACAACTCACAGCAGGATCCCCTCTTCCAAGCAGCACATGCAGTTCTTTTGCCACGGGCCTTATTGTAATCCCTTTCTATGTACCTAAAGCTCAGTTGAAATGAAGGAGGGGAAAAAAAATCTCATAAAGCACCACATTAGTTCTAAAGAGAAATAACATTACTGCTAGTGGCTCTGACCTGAGAGCCCTACACAGAGACAGCCAGGCTCTGGTTATTAAAGGGAGAGGTTTACTGCCTAAGAGCAATGAGAGAGGATTGCTGTTCTAAATAATAAAAGTCATAAAACATTACCGGGCAGAAAGATGCACTCCCACCCCACTGCTTGCCTCGTGAGCCACCAGAAGCCAGGTGCCAGGTGTTGTGGGGCTGACAGCAGCCCAACCCCAGCCAGGGCTCTGCATTCACACCAGCTGGGAGCAGCAGCTTCCCCCTCCCTGTGACACTGCGAGGCTGCAGCGTGGCAGTGGGGACAGGATCAGCCCTGGGCCGCAATGGACTTCACGTTCCCTCAGGAGCAGACAGATACACACGGCTGAGGGCACAGGGAAGGAAACATAGGGCCTGTCTACACCAAGTTACCCTGGAGTTGTGTGGTCAACTTATACAGCCTGCTTCCAGAATTGCTCTCTTGTGAAGACAAGCCCTCTGAGGGGCAACCCCAGCGGTTTTTTTTTCAGGACCTCACCTGCCTGAAACCACACAGCTGCTGACTTCTGTGGTTTGTGATGGAAACGCTCCCGATACATTTGAAAGATGGAACTGAGCACAGAAGTCAGCTGGGAGCAGACAAAACGTAAATCCAAACGTGGAAAAAAAAACTAAGAGCTTTTTTTCAGCCTCCTTCCATTCCACTGCGGGAGCACCAGCAGACCAAGGGACGTCCCAGCCCCACTGGGCTCTGCTGCAGAAATGGCCCTGTGCTGCTGACTGCCCGGCACAGGGCCACGTCCCATCTCCTGGAGACGGATGTGACACAGAGCTGCCTCCCACTGACCTCCCGGCCGCTGCCGCAGTTCTCAGCCATTCCTTCCCTAATGCCTCACCCCACAGAGCACGTTGCTTCCATTCGACAAATAAATATTGAAGCGATGTTATGGGAATAACTGAGAGCACAGCACAGCGGAACTCACACGCTCCCAGAGGAGCAGCAAACGCAGCTTTTTCCTGAGCATGTGGCTGAGGTCCCCGCATGCACTCTGCACACGTCCTGCCAGGGCAGCACTGCTGTGTTTGGCCAAACTGATCTTTCACAGAGCGCAGGAGGTACTGCAGCCTTTGGGCTCCCGGGGCAGCTCACTGCGTCACACTGCCGCACAGAACGCAACACCTTTACTGAGCCATGCAACGGACATGTAATTAAACTTATTAAGGCCTGCCCTTGTTTTCAGACTGCTCTCAGTTTCAGCTGGCAGCAGGATTAATCACACCTGGGAGGACTTCGGCAGCTCTGATCAGATTTCATATTTCTTTTTGCCAGCTGAAGGATGTTCCACCTGTGACACACACCTGGGTACAGCCCTGCGGTGGCTCAGCAGTGCAGCACGGGGCTGGGACAAGGCTGAGTGTGCAACGTGCAGCAGGACATAAGCTGCACAAGCAGCAAAAAGGCTCAACAGCAAGAAATACACTGGGCTCCAAACCACCACCTGAGTTTCAACAAGCAAAAACGTTAGAAAAGCAACTTCTCCCTCCTTCCAAGAGCAGACTGGCACCATCATTTCCCTTCTTTAGGAGCAGTCAACACTTCTATACAAAACACGACCACTTCTCACCACATTAGCCTACACCAGCATCCGTTAACGGCACTGTAGCTGCACACAACGGACACAAACCGGAGGCGCCGTTCGGAGCCCCGAGCCCGCGGTGCGATGGCACTGGGTGCAGCCGAGCAACGCCCCGCAGGGCCCGGCCCAACCGCCCCCAACGGCACCGCAGCTCTCCGCAGCTGGGAGGAGTTTGGGGCGCCGATTTCTGACCGGCACAGCTGCGCTCGGGGTGACACGAGAGGCGGAATCCGAACGAGAAGGAGAAAAGCAAAGCGGGATCTTTCCCTTCGGATTAACCGCGAGCGAAGCGTAGCCGCGATCCCCGTCTGCAGCCGCGGCCCGTTGCCTAAGGCAGCGACCATGTTTTAATAAATAATGATGAAAACAAATTCTTAACACACAGACTCACGGACGGAGCGCTGCTAAAAATAACCGCTCGGCACAGAGGCGCGGGCTGGGATCGGGCTGCAGGCTGCGGGCACAGCGCGGCTCGGCCCCCCGCTCGCAGCCGCAGCGGCCTCCGGCGTCCCCGAGCGCTGCCCCGCGCGGTGCTCAACGGCCGGCCGGGAAGGGGCGACTCCGCTCGAGGCGGTCTCGGGGCCGAGGGGGGGAGACCCGCCCGGACACCGCGACCCCCGCGGCCGTGCCCAAGGCGGCACGGCTCGGAGCCGCGCCGCACACGCGTACACACCCGCGTGCACACACCCGCACACGCCCGCGTATCCACGCACAACCGCTCCCGCCGCGCTGCTCACCCTCCGGGCCCGGCTCCGCCGCGCCGCCCCGCTCCGGCCGCCCCATGCCGCGCTCCCCGCTCCGGTCGCCGCCCCGCCCCGCTCGGCAGCCGCGCCGCTGCCGGGTCGCCGGATTGGCTGCGCTGTAGCTGGGCAGAGCGCCCCGGGCCCGCCGCCCCCGCTCCCCGCCGGCCCCGGGAGCGCTCCGCCGGAGCCCGGGTTGAGTCGGCCCAGCCCGAACGGCCGCTGGGGATGAGCTCGGGCTCGAGCACGGCCGCCCCGCCCCGCGCTGCCCTCCCGCCCCTCCGCGCGCAGCGGGCCCTGCCCCACGGCTCCCGCCCCACGGCTCCGCTCACCGCAGCCCTCCCGGAGCGCCGGTTTGCTTGGGGGGAACCTCGGCGGTTCCGCGAGCCCTGATCTGTGCAAAGCCCGCACCACTGCGCTCCTTCCCCGGCCGCCCCCCCCCGCTGTCCCCAGCGAAGGACGGGCACCGGGCCGGAGGACGCAGCGCCGCCCGGTTCGCCCTGCCCGCACGTTCCTTTCCCCGGTCGGAACGCCGAGGCGGGCACTGACCTCCGCAGCAACGCGATCCACAGCACGCAGGAGCGTTTGCAGCAGCACCCGGCGCGAGCCATGGCCCGCGGGCTCCCGCTCCCACCTGCGGGCTGCGGCCGAGTCTCGGGCGGACCGCGCGGGGCTCTCTGCCCCCGCCGCCCCCGGGGGGGTGAAGTGCGGCCGCCCCGCGGCCCGAGCAGAGGCCGGGCTGCGCCGCATGCTCCTCTCCTGGCCGCCCCGTCCTCACCCCGCCCGCAGCCGGGCTGCCGCTGCCGTCCTGTCGTATTCGTATTCAGGTGCCTCCATTACTCATCAGAACGAAGCGAGGCTATCGAGTAAATGAAAAACCACCACATGGCACCGTCCCCTGGCTGTTATTTATGGCTGCTTCCTTTTCCACTTTTCAAAGGCTACCGTCCACGTCTGCAGCAAACCATCAATCCTCCGGCTCGTGCACCTGGCAGCCGCCGCCGGTCGCCATCGGGGCGAGAAGGACGGCAGGGGGAAGGGTCCCGCGTTAAAAAGATGCCGGAGTGCTTCCCCGGAGCGGTGCGGGTGCAGCGGGGCCCGGGGCCGGGCAGGCACCGCCCCAGCAGCCAGAAGCGAGCAGAGCTGGGGCTGCGGGGTCCCAAAAGCTCGAAGGAAGGGCAGCAATCATGTTGGACACGAATAACGCAGAGCTCTTCTACCACCTAATGTCAGCGGGGTCCTTCTCTCCCTTGCGGGCTGGGCCGCTTCCCCACCGTGCCCACGGGACACCGGGACGGGCATCGCCTCCCACCCCGCAGCCTCAGCCCGGTCCCGCAGGCAGAGCTCCGCACCGAGCACGTGGAGCAGCGCGTGTTGCCGCCCCCCTCTCCCCCCGGCAGCAGTTTGAAGCTCGCTCACCCTTTGCTGGCAGATGCCAGGCACAAAGACAAGCTCGCTGTCCTCGATCTGCTTTTCAAGGCTTCTATAAAGTAGGGCACCAGCATCAACCCAGCGTCGGGTTTTTGATACATGGCTGGAGTAGCCAAAAATAATAACGAGCGGCTTCAGTCAATCGTTTCGCTCTCAAATCTGCAGCAGCAGCACAGGGGTCCTTTGTGCAGCGGAGCAAAAATTCAGGATGTGCCAACCTGGCTCCTGCTCTGCAGCGCCCGGCCGCAGCCCTTGAGCAGAGCCTTTGGGCCGTCACCCCATCCCCAGCCAGCAGCCCCCTGAGGCGCTGCCCTCTTTCCCTTCAGCACAACATCTCCGTCGCTGCAGCAAAGCGTAAGGTCAAGTTACAGTTTTACTGAGCACTTTATCTCTCTGGCAAGGCATAAAAATGCAGAACCTGAACTTTGGAACGAGCCTCACACACGCAGTGGGTGGAGAGCAAAGGCAGCAGGAAAAAAGAACCGAGGTCCTCACTGCAGCCCAGCTCTGGAGTATTTCCTTTTGCACATTTGGACACGTTATTAAGACAGACTGGAAGGAAGCAGCGAGCGCAAATCACGCGTCTCTGGCCTTTAGCAGGAGCCAGATGTGCTGGGAGCAGCGCTGCTGGGCAGCACAAGCTCTGCTCACTGAATACCCCACGTTTCCATTCCTGACATCCCACCCGGTTGGTCTGTTGGTCGGTCTGTCTGTGCACAGCTGCACTTCTGTGTGACACAAACACTGACTGCTGCCCACCGACTGCGCGGTTTTGGCTGACAGCCCCTGGGGCTGTGGGTCTGCCATGAAGGACACTCATTCCCACCCTCTCCATTCTCCTGCGCTTTGAGGCTCACAGGTATCACGGTGCTGCCTTCCTGGCCCTGTGCTTTAAGGCCATGGGGACTCACAGCCTCCTGCCGTGCTCACCTCCCGCAGCCATTAAACCCAGATAGCTCAATTTTATTAGCCGTGAAGCCGGTGCTTTATGGCCACGCTTCTTTCAGCCAGATTCCCTAATGACCTTGAAGAGCAGGAAATGGAAGGGTCGGTGATTATCCAAATTTATTCCAAATTTTAAATCAAAAAAGTTAAAAAAAAAAAAAAAAAAAAAAAAAGAAGCTTAGAAAAAGTTAAAGTCAAGAGGCTGTGGAGGTCCTAAAAAGCGCTGTTTGGGGAATGTTCCAGCCTGCCCTGGTTGTGGCACAGTTGAGCACCACACACTGTAGCTGCACAGCTGGCCACTGTCTCCAGGCTGCTGGAGCTGAGGATCACTGTCAATACGGGCTTCTGCTGAAAACTTTTCAGTCCACGTTCTATAGCTTATGGCACCATCACACCACAGATGCAGTGTACAGATGTGTACAGATTTCGCTGCAATGCCACTCAATCTGCTCTGGGGATGCCCCGCATTCACCAGCACAGCGGTGCTCCCACAGCCCTGCCTGGAGCGTGGCTGTTTGCTCAGGGCTGCTTCAGGACAGCACAAAGCTCATGTGAGGCTGAACAGCCCACATCACCCAGGCCCTGCCGATGACCAAACACCAAGAAAAGTGAACTTATAGGTTATTAAAAGGTTTCTTCACCTTCTTTATTAAAATATGCTTGATGGCCAGAGACAGCACAACTGATGTCAAGCACTTCTGCACAGTCAGGCTCCGTACCCAACAGAACACGGAAGGAACATCAAACCTCTGAGCAATGCTGCCTGGTACTCTGTATTTCATAGCAGCCAGACGGAGCATCTAGGCCGGCCAACTTGTTTCTCTGCTCATAATTTGCTTCACCCTTCTGCTCTCCTGAACAAGCACTGGCCTTTCCTTAGGAATGTAATGCTAATCAGCAGAACCCCACATTCACTGAGACACCATCATCCTTCCTGGAGGTTTCACTACAACGTAACACTGCTATTAGCTGCAGGTTTTTACAAATCTTTTAGTGAAGTCCCATTCCCACAAACATCCAGTATCACCCTGCGCTATTAGTCGTGCTTCAGAGACACCACTTAATGCTCCCAGCAATGTGAGCCAAGAAGTGTCTGCAGGACTCAGGTTTTGAATTTCAAATCCAAACTACAGAAGAAGTGCCAACAGTGCACGGCTCTGAGCCCGACACGCAAATACATCTGAGCATCCAAACAGCACTTTGTTTGCATTCGTCCCTCTAACAACGCTGGCATATATAACGGCCTCAGTTTAACAGTTTCTAATTGACTTTGGAGACTGAATGATGCTGTTAAAAATGAAAATTTTCTAACAAGTTAGGAAAATGTTCTTTAGAAAAAGAAAAAAAAAAAGCTCGAAGAATTTTGAAGTTTGTTCTGACTGTGTATGTTTCATCCAGAGGTGGCACCATGATGTCAAACTAATTCCTCCAATTTGCTGCCTGCCCTGCAGCCAGATAGATGTTAGTGTCTTTTAGGGATATACAACACATCCTTCTCATGGGAACCTGCTTTTCAGATGGAATGAGAGATTCACATGGTCGAAGGTGGTGATTTTTCTGGGGCTCTCAGAGCTGCAGCACCTGCTGGGACAGCGGCCCTTGGAAGGCACAGAATGGCTTTGCCCTGCACACACAGCAGCTGTGCATTCCCTGCTGCAATGGGGATGTGGATGGCAGCAGGAAGGGCTGAGGGCAGTGCCTGGCAGTGGTGCTCCCAGCCCTGTGGCACTGCTAGTGGCTCCGAGCCCCCCACACAGCCGAGGTGTCACCAGCTGCGTGCTCTGCACAGCCGGCTCCAGCCTCTGACATGGACACAGTTGCACCTCACCTCTACACACAGTCACAGCCAACCTGAAAGCATCCCAAACCCCCCAGCAGGAAGACACGCCTGCCTGCAGAGCTGCGCAGTCACACCTGACAGAACCTGACCTCAGGAACAGCCTTCACACCACAAAGCCAACAGGTCCTGCCTGCAGTCCCCGTCGGTCTCAGACTCACAGGAAGAAGGACAGATATCTTTAGAGATCATCTCCCAGTTCTTATTGCTCTCCCTGCATTTGTCACTCCACCAAGGCTGAGCTGTTTCTCCCCAGAGGCTGGGACAGCCCCTGCAGCCCCACAGCTCCCAGCCCCACAGCTCCCTGTATCCTGGCCAGGCCCCTCGTGCTGTCCCTGTCTCCCTGTGCAGGGTCCCTTTGCACGGCTGGGATGGATGCACTGCATTGCTTCCCCAACTCATCTTTATAAGCACCAGCATCATCACCGTGTACTTCATGCAATGCCAGGGGTAGCTCCTTCCAGACCTGATGTACAAATGGTTATTCAAACTTACAAAATGTGAAAAACTCCTAACGAGTAAAAATCCTGGCACTGTCCTAAATTAAATTGCTGCCACAGCCAACCAGGGGTACGTGGATAAGCACGGAGCCAAGCCTGCACGCAGCCCTTATCCACAGCCCACACCTGCTGCTCCCTCCCGAAAGTTAAACTAATGAACACAGCGCACAGCCTAGAGTATTTCAGATACGGAAAAGGTCAGAGCAAAGACTCTGGAGTGAAGAACAGATTGAACTGTGTTCATAAATGACAGCCCCATTTTAAACCTGAAGTTATTTTTTCAATAAATTAGGACAAGTGAGCTTTCCTCCAACTCGGATAATGCATCTCCCCCTGGATACAGACCGGAAGAGGGCACGCACATGCAGGAATCAATGCTAATGCTTTGAAAGATTAATCTCTGAAAACTACTTCAATGGACTAGAAATGATTTCATACAAATCTCTGTATAGCAAGAGCAGATAAAGCATCACAGTGACAGCGAGAGCACGCAGACTGAAAGGAAGGAAGGCGCGGTGCTCTCACTGTGCCACTCTGTGCCCATTTCCCAGCACTGGATACAGGCTGTGACACTGTGCCACTGCTGCCAGCAGCTCTGAGGAGCCAGCTGTGAGTGCACAGGCAGGAGGGCAGGGCCTGGCTTCCCGAAGGTGGGAGCACGGGCTGCTCTGCGTCCAAGGAGATCCACAGCTTGTGGTTTCAAAACGCAGTCAGGACGGTACTCTGCAGAGGAGGGAGGACCTGGCTCTCATCAAAGCCAAGGAGAGTGCACTGAGGGCTCTGAACGTGTTTGCAACTGTGGGTGTCTCCATGGAGCGTGCCTTTTGGCACCTGGCAGGACAGAACTAGCCACGGGGCCAGCAAGATACACACGTCTAAATCAGACCTCTGAAGTACAAAGTCTCAGTCTGTGAGTAATGTCACTAACAGAGGAGCAGCGCGGCTGCTCTGGAGCTGCAGCCCTGCCTCCTGCCCGCCACTCAGGGCTGTGCCGTGGTGGGGACACACATCAGCTCCCATGTGCCCCCCAGGCCAGAGAGCAGACAGGGCTGGAGAGATCTCATCTTCCCTCAGAGAGATGAAAGCTGAAATCTACATTTGTTCTCAGCTGTCTTCTTAAGGAGTTGTATGTGATAACAAAAGCTAACACGTATAACAACCTCCCACCACCATTACCAACATATGGAGAACACAGTACCTCCGTCCCCTTCTGCAGGCAGCAGCCCAGGGCAGCAGGATGACCCAGGCATCTCTGCGGGCTGGGGTGGGATGGGAGCACAGCCAGGCCTGATCCCCAGCTCAGAAGCTGCACAGAACAATTTCCTTTTATAACCAAGTTATTTTGAATCTATCTGGTTAGACACATGCAAAGCACTGACACAGATGCACTGAAACTGGTTTGATCCTTGTCCGAACAGGATTAACTTGCCTTGGTTATTAACTAAATTAAACTCTAGCTCATTTTCATTGCAAAAATGGCTCTTTTTTCACATGCTGTGTCAGTGTGTAATTTTTACAGGGAGAATCTGGGAGGTCTTCCCCTTGCAGCAGGTACAGCACACAGCCCCTGCACTCACCATGCCCCAGGTAATGGGGAGGCACAGCTGTGCCATCTCACCTGCAGTTTTACCTCATCCTCAGCATATAAACCTTAGGCCATTAGCTTTTGCTGGTAACAAGAACAGTTAAAACCATTTAGAAACTACACTGAGAGCCTGAGCTGTGTAATGGCACTGAGTTCAGAACAGTGTGGTTCACAGAGCCATGCTTTGCTGCAGGCAGAGTGTGGGTTCTGCTCCCAGCCCTGGCTCTGCCCACCCGCTCCCTGTACCAGCTTTGCTGTGTGGCTCCCCAGCTCTGATGGGTTACATCTGCTCAGCAGAAAACCAACATTTCTATTTTACTGTCTTCCAAGAGAATTCAAAACATTTCTAGCCTTAAATTTTGATCTGGAAATGTGGGGTTTGGGTTTTGTTGTTGCATTTTATTTCTTAAAACACTGACTCTACCAATTCTTGTTCTTCCAGCCAGCAGCCCTCTCCCCACCCTCAGAACTGCTGCTGTGTCAGTGCCACG